TTGATCTATAAAATGAAGAAAAGGACTGTACCTATGATCTCCCACATGTTAGATTATGTAAAGCACATCATCTAATATTCCAATATACATTCCAATATAGTCCAATATTCCAATACATTCCAACATACACTGGAGAGAAAAATATTCCAATATACATTCATAAACCATTTCAAGTTCTGATACAAAAATGAAAAGGAATCTATTGTAAAATGAGAGACCCAGTAGTTATTAGAAAGAGTGATCTAAATGATTGGTAATGCCCCTTTAATTCCTGGGTAGCAATGATTTTTTGATTATGTACACAGAGAATGAAAGGTATAACTCGAGCTTTAGTGAACTAGAGCTTTAAAAGAAACCTAAGCTATGAATCCTAAGCAATTGTTTTAAGGTCCAAACACTCACAATAACCTAGTTAAGAGCTGGCACAATATTCATAGCAAACAACAAGAGAATTCCAGGCAGTACTGATGAAATTCAGTTTAGCAACATTACCAGCAATTATTACCAGTGCTGGTGTAGGATGGAGAAAAAAATTCTTTAAAAAAAGTCTGTGAGATGATAGCACTATTACTTGTTCTATATGACGACAATCATAAAATAAGTTTTATAAATCATAAAACAGATAATAGAAAGAAAAACTTTGATTTAAGCTACAATTTACCAATCTTCCCCTCTCCAAAGAAAGCGTTTAAAAACTGCAGCTTGTCTAAATAAATAGGTTGGAAACAAAAATTCTGCTGGGAATCCAAATAGATTTTATCTAACAGTATATTTAAATATCTATTAGCATCCTTTGAAATAAAAGTCACTACAAAATCAAAATAATTTCATCAAAGTCACAGTGGGCAGATAAGAAATTAAGGTGGAAAGATGAGTTATATATCTTAGTAAATTGTCCATGAGATAACAGTCTTTTGCGGTCTTCAGAGATCTTGTTTTCAAAAGTCTCATTTTCTCTAAATTATTTTCATATGAACCTGACCCATTAATCAGTTATAAAAGAAAAATTGAACCTTTTTTGACCCTTTCATATAAATAATCTCAGACTTAGAGAAAAGTTGTCAGAACACTACAAAGAACATATATTTCCTGAATCATTTATTGCCGTTATGCTCTCAAAGCACCAGATATTCTATGGTGTATTAGCTACAAGTAAGTAAAGTTTAAAAATTAACATTGAGGTATTACTACCACGTAACCCTCAGATCCTTTTCAAGTTTTACCAACTGGACCATTAGTGACCTTTAGAGCAAAAAGGTCCAGTGCAGGACCACACATTGCATGTCTTTAGTCTCTTTCAACCTGGAATAGTTTCTCAGTCTTTCCTTGCCTCTCACGACTTTGATATATTTGAAGATTACACGGCTAGCTATTTTGTAGATCATGTCTTAACTTAGGTTTTCTGCTGTATTTTTATAATTAGACTTCATTATACATCGTTAGTAAGAATATCCTGGAAGTGATGCTGGGTTCCTCTCTCCTCATTCCGAACACACCACACAGGTCTGATTTGACCCTTACTGATACTAACTTTGCTTGACTTGGTAGTATTGCCAGGCTTCTCCACTGCAAAATTATTTTTCCATTTTTTAATTAGTTCGTGCAGTGATATTGTGTGTGATTATACACATATCCCATTCCCCATCGCTTATTCTATTCAGTTATTTATATAATTATTTATTTATGGATGTTTTATTCAATGGGTCACAATATATAACTCTATTTATTCTGATGCCCCCTGTCCTAGTCTTGGCCAGCTGGAGCCTCTGTATCCTGCTGATGTGCCCCCGCTGTTCTTCAAGTGCTTCCTATTTTCTGTATCTTAAGATGCCCCCAGGTTCATCCTACCTTTCCCAGTTCCAGCTCTGGAATCTTACCACATCTCCAAAGAGTCCTAGTTCCTGGGTATGACTTCTCTTCCCACGAGCCTCCTGAGACTAGAAAAGGTTGTCTGGTCTCTTCTGTCATTTCTCTGACCTTCCTAACTCAGGCTTCATGATTTCATCTCACTAGTGAACATGGTCTATCTTCTCCAGAGTATGAGAAACCACCATACTACTTCTTATGTACTCATCTTAGAGGACGATCAGTTGGTAAGTCCCCAAAGTAAAGTGTGATAAGTCTGATGTCATCAAATTTTACCAATCTCTACAGTATTCTACTCTATACAATTTAAAAATTATAGCAAAAACTCTCTTGACTCCTCTAAATTGTTAATATACTATATTCTAACTGAATATGTACACTAGACACTTTGACTTGTGTAATACAGTAGCAACTGTTAAACTTTAAAAGTTTTCCTGTTGAAAGTATCAATGACCATATTCCCAAGTATGAGACTGAAGATAAACAGTAAGGAAAGATATTCAAGATTCTTTCTCAACCAGTGGACGAAGTCATGGCTCATCTCCCTTCGTGTGACTGGTGAAGCTGAGTCACAGGCAAAACACTTGCTTCCAAGGACATTATCTGGTACATTAACGTGACCATAATTTTATATATACAGAGTAGTAAATCATTTCAAGGGAGTCATGAGTTTCTCAAGAAAACCAGCAGGCCATCCGAGCTGGTTTGACAGTATACAAATTTGTGTTAGCACTACACTTTCTTTAAAAAATCAAATTGGGAATGAAAAGTGATAGGGTTACACACAAGGTTCTATTATAAAACATGAGAAAAGACACATTGTTTTTTTCTTAATCCCTTAAAAGTATATATACAGTAAAATACATTGAGGTGTTTCGCTGTCTGATAACGATGCCCTGGGGAATACAAATACATTTGTGTGCTCTGTGATAGGGATACCCCTCTTCCTGGAAGAGTACTAATTCAGCATAGAACTGTGAACCAGGGACTTTCAAATGCTTTTGAACTAATGCTCCTAATTATCCTGTGCACTAGCTATGATAGTGGTAGTCATTTTCACACAGAAGCCAAGGCTCTGGGAGAAACCCTGCCTAAGATAACACAGCTAGTACGTGGCAATTATGAGTTAAACACAGAACTTCTGTAAGTTAGCAGAAACTTTAGTAAGTTGCCAGAGTGGCATAAAAAAAAAAATAAAAGGCAACAGAAAATGGAAATAAAAGTTAAAATGGAATATGTTTCAAAAAAAGATTATTTAAAGGAAATGAAGGAAAAGACAGAAATGAAAAGCTCAGGTAACTTAGAAAGGGAGAGAGAATGAAAAGGCAAGCTGTGGAGGACAGCACGTTGCTTAGGCACAGGATATTAAATAGGAAAACTGCCTGCTTTCTATTGGAGACTTGAGGGATTGTTTTGTAGGGATATAAATTTAGCTTAGAGATGGTTTTCAAATTTGAAGAACTTAATGATTTTTTTAAGAGAGAAAGAAACATTGATTTGTTGTTCCACTCATTCATGTACTCAATGGCTGCTTCTTGTATGTGCCCTGACCGGGGAATGAATCCGCAACCTTGGTGTATTGGGACAACACTCCAACCAACCGAGCCACCTGCCCCAGGTGAAGAACTTCTTTCCAATCACCATACGCTTTCTTTTAGATATCAGAAAACTCATTAGACAATAAACTTAAGTATGCATTGAAAGAAAAAGTACTTTGCTTCAGGAGGCTGAAATAAGGAAAACTTGTAATGAGGTAAGCTCGAATAGAAGCACCAACCCCTAGTAATTTTATTTTTATTTAATAATATTAATCTTTCACTGACTTCCTTGGATTCTCAATGATCTAAGTAAATCTTAATATGCAATCAAAACATCTTAAAGCTAGGAACCTACTAGTGTCAGGAAAAGAACTAAATACCCTCCACCCAAAACAAAGTGACAAAGTGATTAATAAGGTCAAGCTGGACTGGGATAGAGCATGGTGCGGGGAAAGGGAAAGCCACATTGCCTAGTGTAGGTGAGAAGCCGGATCAAGTCTGAGAGGGTGTTCACATGGGGGTGTTGGGGGCATGGCCCAGGGGTGAGGAGAGCATCTGTTTAGGAAGGCAGCCTGGTACAGGATGCTGGAGCACAAGAAGGATGAAGAGCCTGTCTCCACAAAAACTCAGTCTGGCTTAAGGTGGGGAGGGAGTTCCGGTGTAGGGAGCAGGGGGAGGGAAGAATGAGAAGGGGAGATGTCTGCAGAAAGGGTCCCAACATGGGCTCGGTAAAAAGGACCCAGTAAAGAAGGGCAAGAGGATGTGAGATGTCAGAGCCCGGATGAGGTGGAAAAGGTACCAACATGGTTAGGCACTACGGTAGTGGCCTGGAGCCTGAGCTGCGGGAAAAGGACAATGGTCAATGAAGGAGATAGTAGCAATTTTGGTTACATACAGAAGAACTGATAAACATAAGTAAACATATTAACGTTACCACAAGCCAGATTTCTGTCAGAAAAAGGAGTTAGAAATGGAAAAGGAGCAAACTAGAACAAATCCTGTATTATTGGATTAAAATGGTGACTATCAGCGTCAGGTTATGGTTTTCAGTATACACACATACATATGACTAGGAATATCGATGCAACTGTGTATATGTGTCTCCTACATGTGCACATGCACAAACGCAACATTTGTTTCCTAGCTCTTTCCACTGAGGGAGTCTCGAAGCAACAGTATTCCAGGAACAACGAGCATATCTAGTTCCCAGCTTTGATTTCTATATACCATTCTCCAAAAAAAAAAAAGGAAAACCTGGATCAGGGAAATATAGAAAGAGCATGGAACATCTTGTTACATGGAAGGACAATATTAGGACAACAGGGGAAATTTGAATGAGGTGTGAAATTAAATGTAGTAATGTATTAGTGTTAAAATCCTGGTTTTAATGATTGCATTATGGTTGCTAGAAAATCCTTGTTTCTAAGAAAAACACATTAAAATACTTGGAAGCAATGGGGCTTCAAGTTAGCATCTTTCCCTCAAACAGTTCAGGGAACAAAGGTCATTGTATATACTTTTCTATAAGTTTGAGATTAAATGGGTCAACAAATAAATAGAAATGGGGATGGTGAAAAGGCAGGAAAAACTACTTACTGAGGTCTTCAGCCAGCTGAACTCGTTTACCAGTAAGCAACTTAACCTTCTTTTCGCTATCTTCAGCAAAATCTTCCAATACTTCTTTAACATTTTTCTCTAATCGTCTGACTGTTCAAAGTAAATAAAAACACCAAGGAGCACCATTTTTATGAATGCACAAAGATGTGAAATTAACAATATATGGAGAGTAAGTTCTTATTTTTCTCATCACATTAATCTATTAAGTTCAGACTTCTCAGTTATACGGAGAATATTTACCTATTATACAGTACTTTTAACAACATAAAATACATATCTCAGAGAAAGTAATATTCTCAAGACCTAACACTTTAGCAGAAATGCAGATTTATCAAAAAACCAAATGATGCTTAACAGTTTTTTTTCTAACAGAGTTTTTGTGTAATAAAGAGATTCCTGGTATGTTTTAACTCTCATCTTTTTCAACTACAATTTATCTGCATGAATATTTTAGGGGCGAATAGTAATTTCCAGTTTTTTTAAATAAAACTACTGTAAAGGAAGTATTTGGGAATGCTTTTAAATATGGATGTTATTACTATTATTTATAATGTCAGAATTAGAAAATGGTCCCTCTGTGGCTTACCTTCAGTGTTTGTAAGTTGTTGTCTTAAAGTGTTTGCGGTGATTGCGAGCATGCGCTGTATTCGCCAAAACAGGACAACATCATTGCATTCCAACTGAAATATTAGGTAATTAAGATTACCAAATGCAAATTTAAACATGAATTTAATCATAAACACAACAGCTACTAAAGTGAGTAACTACAGACTGAACTTTAAGTAAAAATATTGAGATTTATCTAATATATATACTCATATTCCTATTGTAGATATATGCTACCGAATCTTTTCTGCACATGATCCATTAAATTCTTTATGATTTGGGTTCTATCTGCCCCACACCTATATAACTAAGCTTTGATTCCAATGACAAAGTAAATAAACTGGAGAAGTAGGGCATTTCATTACATTATATACAAGTAGAAATCCATTGCATATTATAAAATCCGTAATTTGTATTTAGTTACAACTCACAATCATGTTAAAAAATGTCCTTAAGTTAACCTCTTTTCTTTGAGTGTATACTAAAGAAATTTTTGAAATTCAGCTGTATATGAAAATAAACTAATGATATTTTTAAAAAAGAAGCTTATTTTGTAAGAGGTCTGTTCAACAATTAAAATTGCGTAAAAAATGTTGCCATTTTTTACATAGGCGCACTTAAATGTAAATTTATTTTAAGCCACTGAACACTCTAAAGAAAAGCATTGTAAGGGTCTCACATAAGATCACTGATTGATAGAGCTCTTTCAGAAGGATACATTAAAAATATTTCTGCTTGTAAGAAAATGCTCAAAATATATCATCTCCTGCCACCTACAGGTTATTTTGTAAAATGTGACACTAAACTATTTATAATTGTCCAAGAACTTCATAGTTCTTTAAAAGAATTATTTAAAACAAGATTTTAGTGATATAAAGAATTAAACTTATAACATAATACAGGAAGTTAGCACAAAAATTGTTTTGCAATATAATTTCCATTATGCAAATGTATGATTATGTTATACACATACAAAAGAGCTGAACAAAAATAAATAAAAATGTTAATTGACATTACTTCTAGGTCAAGGATTATAAGGGACTATTTCCTTTTGCATTTTAAAAAAATTTATTTATTGCTTTTACCGTCTACAATGGGAATGTATTATTTTCTAACATACAAAGTTAATTAAAAAACTTTTAAAAAGTGGTTTAGTACCTACTACATGTACACATAATCTTAGAGGCACTGGGATGATGTGCATGTAAGATGCACATTTTATCAAAGTGGCAAATATCTTTGAAAATATATGGATTAAGGTATTCTTTATACATGACACATTTTTTCCAGAAGATCAAAGGACTTAAAATTAATGCTAAAGCTGAAGTTTACACCTAAGCATCTAAAAAAACTATTGCTAAGAAACATTTCTACTTGTTTGTGGAAACCTTACCTCAGAATCTACAAAATGCCTTTGGTAGTAATAAAAGCCTCTTCGACAAAGGTTACAATGGTTTAGAGCTGTTTTTAAGAAATGTCGTCTATAGACTTGGTGCCAAGTGTCCTTAATCTAAAATGAAAAAAAGAAAACAAACACCAAAGAGTTATTATACACTTGTCAGGTTAATCAAACACATTCTGAAAAGTCATATACAAAGTATATTTATAAAAAAGTTCATTAAAACCAACTGCAAAGTTGTTATTCTACCAACCTTTTTTATGCATTATTTTTTTCAAGACAAAGATTAGATTTACATTTACTACTACTACTCTGTCCCCTTACCAGTTTATGTACTTCAAAATTTGCAAGTGTTTTTAACAAGCCTTGCTGCTACATTAAAATCATCATCTTGTAGAGCAGACAAGTAAGGATTATCTTCCCCTAATTCAAGGTAAAGATTCCAAGGCAAAAATAGGTTGTGAGCCTTGGACAGAGTTAGGGACTAGGATGTTGGTCTCAGACCATGGCCATCAACCAACCCAACAATACTTCCTTTCTGATCATTAAATTTCAGTTACTACATCAATATGACACACTCCATGTTTTTGCAATATACTCTTCAGAGTGTTCAATGTTCTTTCGTACCACTGTCTTTTTAAAAGCATAACAATAATAATAATAATATCAACACCATATGACTGATGAAAAAAGGGGCTCAGAAAGGTTATACCAATTATTAAAGGTAATATTACTAGAAAATAAAATGAAACTGTACTAGATTTCACATCTCCTGACATCCAGTACATCCACTATTCCAGTCATAGTACTTTGCTACCTATTTTATAGCTTTATAAAGTACACTGAACAAAGTGTCTTTTGGACAAAAACCTGACATTTTCTTGTTCCCAGAAAGTAATTAAGACATGCAGCCAATCCATATCATATATATGGACAAGGCCCCTCCCCCTGCACTAACCAAAATATCAACACTTATAGCCACATGAAATTTGAAAGTATCAAACTGAATATAACTTACTGTTAATGAGAGCTAGGGCAATGTGGATAAATTAAAGCCATAGTCAACTAATAATTTCATGTAATCATTAGTCTTAATTTCATTTTCAATTTATAAATAAAGCTATATGTATAACAGCTTTAACTATTTTGAATTTCAGTTTTCTTGTTCTGACCTGTGGTGGGATTTAAAATAAGTATACTCATTTCTCAAATAAGAAAACATAATAGAAGGCCATCTTTAAAAGAATTATATGTGGCTCTGAAATTTGTTATGACTGTTTCCCCCAGTAGAATTACTTTTTTTGTTGGGTTTCACTTAAGCTAATATTAAAATGAGATGACTTTTTTCTTCTTTTTTTGCATTACGTATTCTATAGTCTTCAGGTTTTGAAGAAGAAAGCAATCATACCCTTGTACACATAAAACAGATACGAACTTTGCTCCTTTATCTGTGAAACTAAGTTTCTCTGGAAAATAGGAATCATTCTACTATGCTATGTACCTTACCATTCTAGTCAATTCATAAAAAATCAATATGCTGAGTGTCCATTTGTCATACTTAATAATGCATCTATCAAAATATTTGTTTTTTAAAATCAACTATTTATAAGATATGGTAATTTATAATAGGGCAAAATGACTTCTGACATTGTGAAGACTTCTGCAAAGGTTTAGTAGACCGATATCTTTCTAACTCTCTTCTTCTATGTCATTTTTGGCTTTCAAAAATTTTAAGATTCTTTTATCAATTTTTCAAGTAGCATACCAACATTAGTATGTGATCTCTAGCAATAAATAGCCAAAATTTAACAAGTAACATGGTTGTACTTGTCTGTGCCTCATTCAAATTTACCCACTGTTTACCATTTTAAGGTTTTAGATTTTAAAAATTTATACAGTAAATGAGGTTTTGATCCCTTACACCCTAACTAGGAAATAGAGGCCCAGAAACAGGTTTTTTAAGAAAACTTTCTCCAAATGAGAATCATGAAGGTAAGCAAAAAGTAGCCTAAACTGTAGTTATTTTTATACTTATATATTTATTATAAGTGAGGAAAAAAGAGAATCCAAAGACATTATTCAAAAGGAAATAAAGATTAAGGAAGCAAGTTCACACTTTTTGGCGTATTTATTACCAGGCTTGGATCTACTGTTACTCCTCGGGATTCGAGGTTTTTTCGGACTGTAGTTATCTCGTCATTTGCAAGATAAGCTGGGTGCTCCTCATTACATTTCAACATCTTCTCCAATTCATTCTTGGTTTCATTGTGAACGCACTTTAAAATATTTAAAAGTAGACGATGTTTACTTGGTTCATTATTTGGCACACTTACAAAGACAGAGTTCTAATTTTAATAAATATATTGCTATTGCACAATAGGTGACACAAGTTCAATCAAAACAAACAAGAAAGTACATAGTGCTCTGGTTTATGAATGCAGGGCAGCCCAGAAGAATGGAAGAAGGAAGAAAAGGAAGGAAGAAAGAAACAGGGAGGGAGGGAGAGAGGGAGGAAGAGAGAAAGGAGGAAAGCGGGGTGGGGGGGGGAGAGAGGGAGAGAGGTAGAAAGAGAAATAAAGACTGATTTAGCCCAATTTGCTATATTTTACTTTTGCTAAAATAGTTTACTGTTGAAGTTACAATACCAGCCATCTCACTGTGTACTTTCATTCTTGACCTTAGAGTATGATTTTAGTCTGGGAAAAAGAACCCTGAATACATGAGAAGAGATAATGTTCTAATAAATTCCTTACATTTAAGGACTGGATGACTATGAGACTGGTACCTGTTGACATGTTTCTTTTCCAATAAATTAAATATAAAATTCATAGTGGGATTTTTAAAAAGTCTTTTCATTAAAAAAGCATGGTTCAGATTGCTTCTGTAAGGTGCCTATCTTAAATTCACTTCCAGCTTCTTCTCTGTAATTATTAATAATCTCTTCACCAAAGGAGGAAAACGTATACACACTAGAGATAAGTCTGGAAAATAAGGCTCTTATCTTATACAGTGTCAAGTTAAGTGTATCTTTTCATTTTTCAATCCTTCTTTTAAAATTGCATGGTAAAAGTGCTTCAAATTCACCGATTAAACAAGTTATTACTAGAGCACTTAGCCCAAACTACACCAAGCTACAGAATTTGAGCATTTATACAAAAATAAACTTAAAAAAAAATTGGCTTATAAACAGAACTACTAATTAATATTCTCTGAAAACATGACATTTTAGAAGAAATGTTATTTAATAAGAGAAATTTCACTATTTCCTTAAACGTCTGCTATCTGGTCTGAGGCAGGAAGGAAATCGGTCAATAGGATATTCCCCAACTTCTCCTGTCCTGTTGGCACTTCCACCTGTGCATCTGTCCTCATCTCACTCAGTCTTCAGGACAACACGCCTCTCCCATCTCTTCTGACCAAGATCTGCATTATTTCAGCTCAAACAAGGTGAGAATTTTCAAAGAGATAGATTTTTCCTAGAAAACTAAGGAAAAAGTAATACCACAAAGCACAAATCAGTTTTCAGAGAATGGATTTATGCTCTTTAACACAGAACACTCTTAAGTCTCTTTTCCTGATAAATCTGGTCAAAAAGACAGAAAGAATTGTCGATGGCTGCCTTAAACTTGCAAAGTGTGACCCAGAGATATTCTCGACCTCCTCTAGAATTTGTTCCTTTTGGTAATTTCCAGGTATGAGGTCTAGAACAGTGGTTTTCAACTGGGAGTGGGAGGGTTAGCAAGATTAAGAGAAAAAGAGCTGGACAGGAGTCTGACAGCAGGCTTTGTTTTGAAAGAATAAACAAACATACACAAACACCTCCCATGTGATTCTGATGTCTCCCATTCTACGATCCAAATTATGGCCCCTGTTCTAAAGTGACCTTGAGTCTCTCACAGGCTGTGCCCTGAAACCCTGGGGAGATGAATGCTCTTCTCTGAAGGGTTTCCATATTCCTCTTCTTGGATGCACATCCTTGTATGACTTTAAAACTAAGTCCTCTGATTCTCTTGAACCCTATGGGTTTAAGTTCTTGAGAAAAGTAACTTACAACCAGGAATCATTTCTCTCTGAGAGTGTCTGGCCAAAGCATATTTACCACACGTTGCTGAGGCAAGTTTTGTCCTCATTGTCTGGAGGCTCTAAGCTTATTTCATTAGGACTTAAAAGCCAGACATCATTTTTCTTTGGTGTTTATTTGCCTTATACCAGTTTTTTTTCTTCTCCCCCCAACTGGTACCTTCTTTTGTCTCAGAGTCAGAAACCTCTGATGGGTCCCCTAGAAGCTTTTTTCTGGCGAACCTCCTCCTCCCAGCCTGTGTGTGTAGTAGGGATAGCTGACACGTACTGAACACAGGCATAATCGAATCATTAACCCGGTCCACTTCTTCAGCTTCTCTCAGTCTCCTAATGACTCTTTTCCCCCCACAAAAACCATTTTAGAAAAAAAGAGGATACTGTCCTTTCACTATTTTAAGACAAATTGGGACTCATCTGATAGCTTATAAAACCAGAAATGCATGAAACTAGAAAAAAAAGGGTGTTGATTATATAATTAAACTAACTTCGTATTTAAAATAAAAAAGAAAATAGGAATAGTGTGTAATCTGGTAATATTTCATTCTCTTTAGCTTTTCTTTATTTCCATGTCTTTGTCTCCCTTCTATCATCACATGGATTCAGAAACAACAAAGTGGGTTAGGTGCCACCTCTTTTTCTTATTCATCATTTCCTACTTTATATATTCTAATTCTATACTCCGTTTACATTCTTTTATTTAAGGAATGAACAAGAATGAGACAGTAGTGTAAGACAGAATGTTAGGTAGGAAAAAAAGACACAATAGAAAGGAATAAAAAGGGTGGAGGATGGGGACTTTAATAATTTATACATTTTCCCTCTTTTACTTATTTGTAAGGTTATTTACACTTGTGTTTACCATTTTGTTCTTCTGAAGTGCTCATTAAATGTAAATAAGTGAATTCTACAATTCTAGTTCCTGAGACTTTATACTTATTTTGTGAACATAGGAACAAAAAATGTAAAAGAACATAATTTAAATATACAACAAAAAAAAAATCCGAAGATAACATAATAAAAAAGTCATTATATTTTTATTCTAACCATATTCAGTCTACACCCTCTGAAATCCTTGCCATTCTTTTTCTTTTTTTATAACTTTAATCTTCAATTTACCTCAAAAAGAGATTGAAATGAACAAAGTAAATAACCACCAAAGGGGCATTTTTCATCTCCCCTTTCTTTTAATAACATGGCTACTTCACTTATAAAGAATCTTTCATTCATAGTTTACTGTTTACTTTAAAGATTTTATATTTTAGAAAGGCTGACACAAACATTTGAAATTATTAAGACTGGTCTAGAGATCTGCAAAGGTTACATTTTATTCCGTGGATTAAAATGAACAAAATTTTATCATCATAAGAACAGAGATTTGTATTTACCTGTTCTTGGGTCCGATTCTTCCAGTATAACCACCTCTTTTTCCAATCTGGACCTACCATATTTTCAATTGCATTTTCAGCTAAAAAATTTAAAACATTTTTTAAAAATTCATCATGAATTTTATCATTTACCAAGTATGTAAATTGTAACATAATATTCTTGCTTTCTTAGCTACTTCAAAGTATTCTGTCAATATAAAGTGAGTTGAAATGAAGAAAAATTATATAATTGATAGGGTGAATATATACAAAAAAACTTAATTATATATGTTTACAACCTATGAAAAGTACAATTGCTTGAGAACTTCTCATAAGTATACTAGCAAACACTAAAATAGTTTGAGTATAGCTTTTTAGATAATCAGAACTTATAAACATATATCTAATTTATTTAATATTTTAGTTACTAAGAAGTTGACAAAAAAAATCCGACAAATAATATTCAACTTCATTATTAATAACAAAGACCTTGAAATGTTAATTCTTTTTTAACAAATATTCTTCAAAGTTGGATGATTCCTTTATCACTGGGAATACTCAAAACTCAGTAACCCTTGTCCCTACTTACTATCCTTGAGACGAGCCTGAAGAGCCTCTTCCATAAAATAAATAGCTGCATCCCACTGCTGTTTATCAGATATGGACCGATCTTCTAAAGCATTGTGTTGAATAACTCTCTGAAATAAAAAGGAAAGAAAAATAGTTAATTTGATCTGTGTCTTATTATTCAGTACTTTTACTCAAATTGGCACCTGAGCATCCAAAATAACAGCTGCACCAAAAACAACATAAAAGTATGTTCCTTCCACACAAATGCATATGGTCCTATTTGCTCATTTGCCAGCTTTCTGTCTAAAAAACAAATGGAGACTTTTCTCCTAGCTGACCATCTTTAAGACCATTGCAGGAATCAGGGGCGTATTACACATTTAACTACATAGCATCCTACACCTATAACCCTAGTATTCAGGAGTTAACAATTCAGTTCATCTCTACCTCTTCTTTTGGTCATATGACTTATATGTTAGTATTTTAAGAAAACTAAAAGGGGAAAAAATAATAACCATTATTTTACTGTTAACAGCAGTGGAAAATGTAAGGGAGGGAAGCTTATAAGGTTGAAACACTCTTCAGTAAATGCTATTTATTATAAAAAAATTAATTTCCAAATTTTGTAATTGTTGAATGAATGAATGAAAATGTCACCATTCTCTCCAAAAGCCAGGCTTAATAAGGGAGCTAACAAGAATAAATACAAAGACAACTATTTCTTCCAAAAACTTATTACAACCAGTCCACAATCAGATATGCATATTCCTAGAAAACTGCTTCATCTTATCTTTCAACAGTGCCTCTCATAACTGTCTGAGCAGAGCAGCAAAATTAACAAGGTTTGATTATGGTGACAAGAATGTTCTACATAACAAAAGATTTTATCAGGTGGTGGAGGTTAGGAGCCAGGTTTTATAATTAGACAAAATGGGGCTTATATCCCAGCTTTGCCAACAACAATAATATAGAGTATGCTTAAGAACTAAATAGGCCTAGAAACTAACTATATTTTTGTGGAAGAATGGGTGAAAAGGGCAGCTTCCTGTGTTATTGCCAAAAGTTTGAACAACTTGTAGTAGCCTGTGGCTAGAAAATAACTTCTTTGGGGCAAAACAGCAACTACAAACTGGCTATGGCATTAGCTGTGCCCATGGCTTTTGCAGTAGGCTCTTCTGCTGAAGGGAACAAGGAATTTGACCATTTAGGAGCAGATACAACCAAGAAGAATCTTAAAGAAGTAGCAGGAAATCAGCAGAATCACTCATGTGATCCAGAGGAGGAAAACTATTCCCAATCATCTCCTCCAGCTAATAGCCAAAGTAGTCCACGCCTCCTGAAGAGACTGCCTTAGAGTAGGAGCATTTCTCAATTCATAACCCCGTAACTTAAGAAACAAAAGTTCTATAACTTAGTAGTGGCCAAAGATGAAGGAGGTAAGAAAGAGTTTACCCAAGCGGGTGGAAGAACAGGTTTTAGATAAAGAGGAATCTTCCTGAAGCAGAGAGGCAGGCCAAGGGTGATGCTGAAGAAACAGCTCAGAGAAAACAACAGGTCATTAAAGTTGATGTTAGGAAGAAGCACCTTCAGTGAGAGGTCCTGAGACACAGCATTTTGAAGGAGGAAAAAGAGGAGGAAAAGGTAAAGAAAATACAAAAAGACAAATCCGAAGCAGCAGCAAAAAGGGAGACAAAGGAAGTGCAGACCAAGAAGCCAACAGCAGAAAAGGCCACTCAAAAAGCCATCAAGAAGACCAGAACTGTAAAGTGACCCTCCTAGATGGCACCAAGTACAGCTGTAACAAGGAAAGTTTACTAACGGATAAGTGTTACTTCAAAAAGTGTGTGAAATCTCAATCTCTTGGAGGAATACTTTGGACTTCTGTTTCAGGAAAGCCATGAGCAAAAACACTGGCTAGCTCCCACAAGACAGACAGACAACTGCTGAAGATATCCCCAGATACTTCTTGTGCCTGCAGCTCACGCAGGATGTTGCCTCTGGCCGCCTGCCCTGTTCTTCTGAGACCATGCCCTCCTGGGATCTTCACACTACAGGCTGAACTTGGAGACTATGACCCAGAAGAACATGCCAGGCATCACCTCAGTGACTGCAGTTTGCCCCCTCCCAGACAAAGGAGCTGGAAGAGAAGGTGGTAGAGCTGCATAAAACCCGTAGGAGCTTATGTCTAGAACAAGCTGATTCTCAGTTCTTAGAAAATGCAAAGAGGCTTCCATGCATGGCACCAACCTACATCATGCCCAGGTGCGAACATAAAGCTGGGTGTGTGTGCTAATGGGCTCCTCATTTACAAAGACTGAGAATCAACTGTTTTACCTGGCCAAAAATCTAGAAAACTTCCATAAGTGTAGTAACTTTTACATTAAAGTTAAGACAGCAGAGCTGCAACAGTTTGAAAACACCATTGGATTCAAACTGCTGAACCATCTGGCTGTGGAAAGACTATGGAAAGTATATGTGAAACATCATACTTTTTATAGGCTTGTGTCTACAGAGCAGCCACCAAAGGCCAAATTCCTGACCTTGGGGTCCAAATTTCACTACAGTGGCTGCACGCAAGCACAGATCCACCAGGCAAGTACCCACATTTACAGGCCAGCCCAAATCTAGTAAGCTGGTCTCCGGAATTCTAGATGGATCTCTACTGGTGTTGTGGACCAAAGCCTTGTTTATGAAGGATTTTCCTGGCCCTGCTGGTGGGGGAGAGCGTTTCAGCACATGGCTGTGGAGTTGTCAGCACTGCCATGGTACAGAACGGGGATGGCAGAAGGGAAATAGAAGCCCCACTAAAGTTCCACATGTGCACTCACTGAAGGAAAGAGCTCACATGAGACTCTGAATGCAGTGGAGAAGAAACAGGTAGAGGTTGGGGAAGATGAAAAAGTAGTCAGAGAAGAAATGAACAGTAAAGAGATACCACTTGGGAGTGGTCCTGAGGCTAAGGTGGAGCCTCTGACACAAGGACTCCACCTCCCTGTCTTCTAAGAGCCGAGCCAGCAGTGAGGGCGAGGAGGATGTGGGAGAGTACAGCCCCGCCACCATGGTGTGACCGAGGGCACCAGAAGAACAGGAGGTAGAGGGAGAACCCGGCTGAGCAGCCCAGCTAGTAGAGAGGGAGGAACCCACGTCAGGAGCCAGCCCAGCCAAATAAGCAGGTGCCAGTGAAGCATAGTAGAAACAGTGGTCCAGGAAAATGTAGTTGCCCCAAAGGTGTCTGCAAAGGAGAGAGTACAGGAAGGCACTATTAAGCAAGATGTGAATGAAGACACAGAGGACAAGCAACATGAAGTTAATGGAGAGGTGTCTCATGCTCACACTGATGTTTTGCTACAAATTATTTGTTGTTCAGAGCCACCCACGGTAAAGATAGAGAAGGTAAAAATTTCTGATGCCCCATAAAGGATGGAAATCTCCACCAAGGAAGTCCGTATTGTCCAAACTGACACCAAAATCATCACAAGCCTCCACAGATTGCTGGTGCAGTAGCTGGTGATTCAGGCACGTTAATGACAATACAAACCATCACATTTGATTCTGTGTTGACAACAAGAACAAACACATCACCAAGACTATAAAAGGTGGGATATGTGAAACAAGAATTGAGAAACTCATTGTGATCGTGGGAGACGTAGATATTGATCATGACTGGGCACTGGCCCAGGCCGTCAGGAAAGCCAGAGAGCAGCACTCCACGTGTCGGTCACAAGAGTGCTGGAGCACAAAGAAACTGAGTTGGAGGAAGGGGAAGAGTAAGTTAAGAAATTCATTTATTAAACAACATTCAGCTTTGTGACCTGAAGAATTCTGACCACTTCGGGTCTCACACCACTATTCGAGCAAATTTATACAACAACTGGTAACAATGACTAGAAGCCTGAAGAATCAAAATGCCAACACCAAACCTTACCTTAACAGGTCTGGTTTACACTGTTCCCTCACATTTTAACATACTACTTTGTTTTATAACCAATTCTAAATATTCTTGGTTCCTTTTTTTTTTTTTAATTAGGGAGTTTTGTTTTGTTTCCAGTTTACTATGTATACAACTACCTGCTTTTTATGACTCATTTTGATCCAATGATAGTAAACAAAGACAGCTTCAGCTGATAAGGTACTATTTACTTGAACAGGTGCTGTTGTGTGGAAAGGAAACAGGCTAATTAAGATAATGGCTTTCCTTCTTCCAGATTCTTGTCTTTGAATTCCCATTGAATTACAATAAATATTTAGTTTTCAGATTGTAGTAAATATATTGTATAAGGAAATATTAACATGGATTAAAAGCATCTCTTACATCTCGAAAATCTTCTAATGTTTGAGAAATTTATTGGGGACTTTTTTTAATATTGAACCTTTTTGACTTTCCAGTTCTATGACTTTTCACTGTTAGTAGAAAGTGAGAGAATCTACAGACTAGAGCATTAGGAAGAATTTTGCTGACCACATACTGTGTTTAGAGATTCTATCACCCCACACAGCCAATGCTTCTCAAACACATGCTCTTCAGCAGCATTCCAGAACCAGGAGGGAGGCAAAAGAGAAAATGATTTCTTCCCTTCTATTAAATATTCAGGGAGCCTAAAACTTTATTGCTTTCTTTCTTTACATGTCCAGATTTCACTACTTCCCACTGTTGGAATATTTGTATGCAACACTTGCTTTGTATTGAACCTCCTTGCTTACTTGTAAAACTGATCGTTTGTTATTGAGCACATCTGTCTCTTTCAGATAGTTTGATGATTTACACAGGTTTGAGGACACTGGGAACAGGAGTTGGTAGGGGCAGTAGTGGATTTTTGATGGTTACAAGAAAGCTAGATCATTTTAAACTGACACCAGATACCTGATAGGGATTTATTAACTGTATTGAATATTTTTTTCCTTTGCTTTTGACCCTCTGTATAGTTATGATGCCAGATTAGATTTATAGCAGCTTCAAGTTGTATTAAATGACATTTTGCTTTCTGTAATACTGTTATAAAGTTGGTTTAGGTTCTGGAAAAAAAATAATGCTTACAAAATACACAGCAGAGTTTCTGGTACCTTGTTAGCATTCAACACATGGTAGTTAGGATTATGATTGTAGGAGTCTAACATTTCGTAAGTTGAATCCATTAAAAATCAATGCATCTAATTCCTTTTGTTACCATAGAGGGTAAAATGAGAAGCAGCTGTCTATTAGTTCAGGCTAATGGATGATAAGTTGTTGAAGTTTATAGAAGCCTGTTACTGAGAAGTTTGACTTTTTTCTGAAATGATAGCCAAGAATAAAATAACAGTAGACAACTGTAGAACAGAGAAATGTCAAAAGGTCAATTACAGATCATGAATCTATTTCTTTCCTTCATTATTTTAAATTCAGAATCTAATTCAGTCATATAAAATAGTCGCCTATAAAAGTATCGATCTGAGAAACTATGTATGAGGTGGTCACCCTAGACATCCTAATATACAAATGACATACCAAACTGTCCTCTGCAAAATCATTCCACTTGTGGCGTTTAATACTTTCTTCCTTAACAGCCTCCTTAAGTTTATCAAATATGTCATCATGCTCTTTTCCTTTTGGTTCTGTCATGAAGCGGGAAAATTCTTCTTGTAGCGTCTCCCAAGCAACCTAGATTTAAAAGAAAAAATTAACACTACACACTTTTATTTCATGTGTAACATGAAAAAAAACTCCACATGAACTTAGGTCAAATAGATGTAACAAATCAGTTTATCAGAAAATACATATAAAACCATATTTTAAAAAAGTCAGCAAATATAAACTCTGGCCTAGTGATCTTACACTGGTATCTGGTGGGATTGATTTGAATTCCTGACATGCGTTGCTAGACATACACAGTGTTTAAAATTTTAAAAATTAGTACCTGGTATTTAAAAATTGAGTGATTTCACATACTAGTCTACATTTCCAGCCCTTCTGGAACTATCTGGCAACACTATACTCACATTCCTTTATACCACCACCTGCCAAAGCTGAGCAAGAGCTGCCCCTTTAGATAAGATGTGCACTCTAGCTGGCTACCAGGCTTAGTTCACTTACTTCATTCTCTACACCTGAGTTTGCTTGCTTCTTCCACACTGTAAAAAGTTTAAAATTTCTTAATGATTTAGTTTTCTTCACATTTTTGCCCATGTGCAAATATATGAAACAATGCATCAACACTCTCAAACACAGCTGAGTATTATTCAGCCTTGTATTAGAGCTAGCTCCTAATTACATGAATAGTGAAAGGAAGAGCAGTGTCAAAAGAAATTAAGAACTATACTTAAAGTAGACTAGTTATGGTATTTTATATTTAGCCCTCTTCATTTTAAACATGAAGAAATTATGGCATGAAGAAAACTATGGCATAAAGAAAGATGCCTGTCCAAGAATACACAGGGAGGTATTAAAATCAGTATTTCCTGACCTTCAGCAGGTCCACATTTTTCTACCACAACTAAGTGTGAAGGTGCAAAGTGGCAAGAGACAGAGTCATTGCCATTTCTATGACCACTTCCACTGCCTGAACCGTAGGATATAAAAATACCCTGTCATAAGACAGGGCCCCAAAACTGTTAAAGTTGGTCAGTAGTGAGGAGAGCTGGTGAAGTGCTGGCAGTAGCTCTAATTACTGCAGGGATGAATGTGCGGAGAGCTGACCATGCAGCTCAGGTTGTATGACTGTAAGAGCTCTCAGAAAGGGAGGCTGAAGGAAATTGAAACCAAAGGTGAAGAAGCTAGGACTAGAACAGGATAGGAAAGGGGTGAAACACCTAATCAGAAACTGACATTTCTAAGGTAGGTATGAAAAACAAGATTATTTTTAACACTGATTCTAATTTCGTGAGCATCCTCACACAGAAGTACAGGACACATTGACTCTTAAAGCAATCATTCTTCAGAGTAATATGCATGGCTGATCACTTTGGATGATGGTCATCATCGTCACTGTAATAGCAGCTGCATTTACTGAACAACTACTACGGGCCAGGTATTGTCTAAGTATTTTACATACATTAACTCATTTACCCCTTATAACAATCTATGAGGTAGGCAACATTACCACCCTTATTTTATAGATAAGAGAAACCTTCAGCAACTAGCCCAAGGATCTCACAGCTATTAAGTGGTAGGGCCAAGAAACATGGGTAACAGAAATGCATTCTTTAAGACACTTTCTTAGAATTTTTAATCTAACCTTCTGACAAGATAAAAACTAAGTAAATGATTATTAAGTATAATTGAGCCTTGCAGATAATCAATATATGAAATGTTTAATTAATTAAACATGCCCTTCCTGGAGTCTTTACCCACAGATGTTAAAATATTTCACATTGAAGCAAATTTTGGTGGTTTTGTTAAATGCTATCTTTGGAAGAAAAACAACATACTCAGACCAACATCGTAACAATTAGTAAAGTTTTGTAACAGCAGTAACTGGTAGCAGTGTTAAGCTTAATCCCAACACAAAGATGAGGAATACAGACTAAATGGAGTATAAAGAGAAAAAGAAAGGTAGTCACTGTGATGGGAATAAAATCTAAACGTCACAGCTCCTACTCCCTTCAGATAATGCTTCTTACCCATTTAATTAAATTATATCCTAACCTCTACAGCTTTATTCGGAAGCTGTTTATCAGTCCACTGTTTAAGCTTGATATCCACTGTGGTATTAAAAGTCCCTGAATTCATGGTCTGTGCAGCTGGAAGATAGATGTTTTCAATCACATGAGTTGACACTCTTTCCCACAAAGATTGCTGAAGGATTTCTTCCCTGAAATTTAAAAAATAACAAGTTTCAAGAACACCAAATTTAAATATAAGTTTTTAAAAACAGCTTTATTGGAAGTATCATCAACTTACAATAAACTGCATTTATTTAAAGTGTTGACATATGTACATACCCATGCATCACCATGATCAAGATAATGAACTTACTCATCGTCCCGAAAAGTTGTAACCACTGATCTGTTTTCTGTCACTATAGGTTAGTTTATATTTTTTCAGAATTTTATATAAATGCAACCATACAGTATGAGTTCTTATTTATTGCCTTTTTTCACTCAGCATAATTATTTTGGGATTTACCTATGGTATGTAATATTTCACTTCTTTTTATTGCTGTGTAGTATTTATTCCATTACATGAATTTATCTATTCACTTGCAGATGGTCATTTGGGTTGTTTCTAGTTTTTGCCCATTACAAATTAAGCTACTATGGGCATTTACATACAAGTCTTTTTATGGACATATTCTTGTTTCTTTTGGGTAAATAGTTTACAGATGGAACGGCTGATCATATTGTAATTATATTATTTAACTTTTTAAGATACAGCCAAACTGTTTTCCAAAATGGCTGGGCCATTTTACATTCCTACTAGCAGAGTATAACACCTCTACATCTTCTATGTCTTGTCAACACTTGGTGTGGTTACTTCTTTTAATGTTAGATATTCTAATAGGTTTACAGTATTAACTCATTGTGGTTTTAATTTGCATTTCCCCAATGAGTAATAATACTAAGCATCTTTTCATTGGCTTATTTATCTATTATTAATATATACATTATACATGCTGACCGTGAGCTGGAGTCCAAGACTGAAAAGCTGGTATAATTTTCACAGTTTATCAACCACAGAACAAAGCACAGAGATATTACGGGATATTGCTGGGTAATATTGTTCAACACTTCATGACTAAGATAACGATATAAAAGATGTGCAATCAAGTTGAAAATTTTGCCATAAAGGACATCTTATAGGAATACAAATTCCTGAATAAGAGACAACTACTTCAATCAAGAAAAAACCCTGAAATCTCAAGAAAATATTTACTTGGCTTCTCCTAAGCTAATTTCTACTGTAGTATGTACAGAAACATTCTGCTTATCAAGTGGTCTTTTAACTTTAACAAAATAAACTTAATGCCTTTCACCAAAAATTGTATCCACACCATGGTACCATTTCTTTTAAAAAAGTGTGTTGTGTTGCTATAAATCCAGCCAGCTATCCTTCTAAATGACATATGAAAAAAATATATCTATGATGATGGTCACGTAATGTTAATTATATACCCAATTATTTCCTGCTTAATGTTAGTAATTGATTCCTGATGATCACGTATACTGCATGAAAATGTTGAGAGGCAATTTCTCACTATAATACACCATATGTCAAGCCTAATCCCCCCCAATAACTTTCTTAAAATATTATTATAGTGGAACATCTATAAGAAAATAACATTTTATGTTAGGACATAAAATGCTTATAACATTGCTTCCAGATCACTGTATATAGATCAAACAGTCCTGTAACTTAAGTAATTATAAACATCTTAGGCACGTATTGTAAAATATCACATAAAGCACAAAAAGATACTACCTAAGACAGCATCAGCTATGTCACAAAAATAAAACATTTTGGGTTCAATGCAGTTGAATTCAATGTGGCACAAACAGATATTTTGATCTGTGCTTGTGTTAAGCTATAGAGCCTAGGGAAAAAAATGAAACTGTACAAAATTTTCTGATCCAGCAGTACACAGAATACATTTCTAGCAGTCAGATACCCTAGTTCTCTCCCTTGTGATCTCAACAGGCAATCTGGTAGTAGATTTCCTGTCCCTTCACAATTTTCCTCTGCCACTTATGTTCTAAATAAATGACACTTATCTTCAAGGTTCGCTCTAGTGCTGGTATACGTTGATTTCAGACTTTATCTGTCCAACCAAAACCAACCATGCCATTTGACAATGCCAGAACTGTACAGAAGCACCATATTTTTCTCCCATAAACAGTATTACTAGTTATTATAGTTTCCAAATCACCTCTTATATACACTGTCCCCATACAACCAAGTAAGGCAAGTAGTAGTATATTCATTTGCTGTGGGTATACACACATAAGAGGTCTGTCTGGAAAAAGCCCAATCACTGTTAATATAATGAGATGATTTATGTGATATAACCTGACAGCTGAGGGGAGTGGACTGGAATGCACATGTGTGAACAATGATGACTTCAATGTACTAGTCGGTGGGGCAGTAGATGCCACTGCGTGAGCATGTATACTGTGTGGCCATGGCATTCAAAATGACTGAGACAGTAGAGCAATGAGTCTGCATCAAATTTTGCATTAAGTTTGGACATTCCTCCATAGAAACTATTCAGATGACTCAGAAGGTCGCAGCTAAGGGCAACTGGTGATTGGCAACTTCGTCACAACAACGCGCCCAACTCATGCATCACATCTTGTGCAGTGTTTTGGCAAAAACATCAAATCATTCAGGTGACTCAACTCAGATTTGGTTCCCTGTGACTTCTGCGTTTTCCCAAAACTAAAATCACCTTTGAAAGAGAAGAGATTTCAGATGTCAACGAGATTCAGGAAAATACAGTGGGGCAGCTGGTAGCAACTGGGAGAACTGTGTGAGGTCCCAAGGTATCTACTTTGAAGGGTACTGAGGCATCATTGTCCTACATACAATGTTTCTTGTATCTTGTATCTTCTTCAGTAAGTCTCTTGTTCTCCTATTACATGGCAGGATACTTTTTGGACAGACCTTGTACATGTACACACATCTATCTCTTGCAAATCAAAAATGAATTGGCTTACAGGAAGCCGAAGAACTGGCTTATAATATAAACAAAAACAAAGATAATTGTGTTATATCTAGTCAGTCAGTAAGTACAGATCAGATCAGAATCCTTTTTTTTGATAAGGGGAGATCAAGAACACACAAATTCTGACTATCTGATGAGAGAAAAGGGTTCACTCTTGAGGAAGAAAGGACACCAAGACAGCGAAACTAGTAATACTGATTTCAAACTTAAGGACTGGACGATACTACACTGGGTCAATTTTGATACTCTCCAAATGAGCAAACAGAAGAGGTACTGAAATTATTTGTAATGAATGGCAGTAGGAATAGTTAAGCTCTAAGAGTGATAAATTCTTTAAAACACTACAGGCTTCATTAGAAAGATAAGATATACACAAGGAATTTGTTTACATATAACTGCAAAAATCTCAAGGCTATTTAGACATAGTTTACTTGAGATACACTGAACCTACTTTGGTTACAGTGACCCACTCCAACATTTAAGAATGCCTAAATTTACATAAAACATAAATTGAGGGTGATAGTTTGCCTTAAAAGATTTGCATGAGCGTTTTTCAAAGATACTTACTTGCTTTTTTTTTTAGAACTTTATTTATTTATTTTTAGAAAGAGTAGAAGGGAGGGAGAAAGAGAGGGAGAGAAACATCAATATGTGGTTGCCTCTCACACAGCCCCTGCAACCCAGGCATGTGCCCTGACTGGGAATCGAACCAGTGACCCTTTGGTTCACAGGCTGGCACTCAATTTACTGAGCCACACCAGCCATGGCTATTTGGCATTTTTTTTTAAAAATTTCAAATAGGATTTAATTTGAAATATGATTTGTACAAAACATATTAAAGGTAAAGAAAAGCCTAAGATGAAGCAAGATTTGAAAAGAGTATAAAGCTATCTTTCAGAATATCTCTTCTGAGAGATATTTAATACATAATTTATTCTACTTAAATATTAATTAGAGTAGAATAGTGGTTACATACTTTTATGTTCTTGCCTATGTTTTGGGGGATGAACCAAGGCTACAATAAATCACTGCTTTATCAATCCAAATTTTAGTATTTCATTATAATTCCCATAGTAAAATCTTTCATAAAAGGACAAATACTCACCAATGTTTTGGTGTAACCTGGCTCAGACTGATAACTTCATCGAGGATTTCATTTTTAGCTTTTTCAAACAGTTCATTCTGGACAATATAGATACAAGTAAGTAAGATTTTCATAAGATAGTCAATTTACTCTGCCATGATTTTCAGAGATAACTAAAAAGAAGGCCTCTGACAAGCCAGGAAGATGAGCTCAGGTCTGAAGCATGCATGAACTGCAAATAATGCTCTTCTCTCCTAGTCTCTTTTTTAGAAATCTCAATATCCAGACAAGGACAAAGAAACTGACACAAATGTCTACCGTATTCACTTAATTCTAAAAGTAGTTTTTCACATAACATTTGTTCAGATAAGTTTTTCATATAAATGTTATATGAAAGATTCAATACATATTTAGTGTATTAGTAACCTGATGCTGTTTTACAAAGCATGGCATTTTAAAATCAAGGAAAACCAGAATTTAAATCCCACTAAATTAAAGTATATCATTCCACAATAAATACTGAAAAGGTAAAACACTGATGTATAATTTTTAAAAGTTTACATTACATAAATACATTAATTCTATAAGACCTTTAAAAACGTTCATCTCAGAAAGTATTTTTAAACGCTTGTTTTGATATCCCATGATCCCTAATTATGTTTTAATATTATGAAAAATAATTTAAATTACGGTACAAATGATAACTGCTCCTGGAAATGTATGCTTGCAGCTCTAAGTCAGTAATCACGTTCAAAACCAAAGCAATTTAGCTCACCAGACTTCACCCATCAACATAAATTTTGTCTGAGCACAGTATTAGATTAGATCAGTGACCTTCATCTCATGTTACACGTAAATTAATTACTAAAATTCTGTGGCACACCAAAAGATATATTTTTTTATCAATCTGACCAAAAATATAGGTATAATTTTCATTCATTTACATCTGATGTTTATTGTTGTGTTGGCTGTTGTCATTTTTTCATTTGACACTAAGGGAAAAGAGGTCAGTGTCCTTGACTGAATAGTCAGGTATTGCATTTTTAAAAAATTATTGCAGGACATCAATTGAAAATCTCCAGATTACATGTACTCAAAATACATGAGGTGCACAAACATTACCCGGTCAAGTTCTCGCAGGCGTGGATAGTTATTCTTCCACTCGGTTTCAAGGTTAAAACGCGTTGCTGAGGAAGAAGGAAAGATGTTCAAGTTTGAGGATTCTCTTTCTTCCCAGATGCAGTTGCTAAAGGCCATCTTGTCTGTCTGCTGCATTTACTAAATATGAGTGTGTACCTCTATGGCTCCTGAATTCTCTGGGCTATCAACATCTCAGAATCTCATTATTACAAATTCTCCAAACTAATCTCCTTGACTCTAGTTTCTGCATTTTCAATCCACAAAACACACAACTGAAGCAGTACAGTACAGAAGTTAAGAGCATGGACTCTGGGGTCATGCCACTAAGATTCAAATCCTGGGTCTGCTGCTGTGTGACACTGGGTCTGTTACTTAGGTAAGGTACTCTGTGCCTCAATTTTCTCTTCTGTAAAATGGGAATAATAATAATACTTACAAGGTTGCTCAGAGACTAAATGGAATAAATAGGCAGGATTTCCAAATGGGAAAAGAGAAGAACTGTACATTCTCACCAAATGAAGCTATGGAAGTCATGGAGCAGGAAAGTATGGGATTTAGGAATAAACTGAGGTACACGCTGCTCTGATGCCTAATACATTTCCTCTTTCCTCCCCAAAGCAGGAGTCTGACTTCACTATAGTTGACTAAGCTCCTTCCCCAAATATTACTGCAAACTTTATAATGTGTTTAAACTCCCATGTGCTTCCAGCAATGTTTTCTCTGAAAGGAAAAATCCTGTTCTTGTAGTACTATAACTGAAAATTGTATTTTTTCTACTTTCCACATACTCTCTAATAGTAAGTGAACTAAAACACAACTGTTAAAGAAAGGGAGTAAAGAATCTGATGGATGCCTAAAATTGGCAGCTAATGAAGTATCTAAATGTGTTACCGTATTTCAAAAACCCAACTTACCTTTAAAACTATCAGCCTGTTGTTCAACTGACTCTCGTACCATTTTCCAAAAACAGTCTGATACAGCAAGGCTTAAATTTCTTGTAGTTACTTGGTGTGCCTTTAGCATGCTTGCCCTATAAAAAATAACAAGAGTTAAAGTACACTTAAAATGGCAAAAGGACTATACTGAGTTTGAGAATGTGATTATGGTAACCTAAGGAGAACAGCCATGTATACATTTTATACCAACACTGTCCAATAAAATTTTCTGTGATGAAGAAAATGTTCTATATCTGAACTATACAATACAGCAGGCACTACTAGTCACATGGTGTTATTGAGTGCTTGAAATGTATGGCTAGTGTGACCAAGAAATGAAGTTTTAATTTTATATGATGTTAACTAATTTAAATTTAAATAAACATGCAAGGATAGTGACTACTGTATTGGACAACCGTTCTATATGCTTGCCAGGTCCTATCCCATTGGATAATACCTGAGATTATAAGAACTATCTTGTTTTACTAACCAATATAGAGCTAACATACTTTTCCCCTTCAAGAGACTCTGTACATATAAAGTTTCAGTATAGTTCAGTCATCCTTTAGTTCTTCCTTTGGCTTTTCTGTTAGTATCTTATTCATTTTCTGTTAATTTTTGTCAATATCTATTTAGGGATATTCCTTTGACATCTTCAGTCCCACTTCAACCTTCCCCAATACTGTAAGGAAAAAGGCTACATGTATTTAAAATGTAAGTGTTGATTTTTAAAAATCACTTTATAAGTAAATCAACTTCAGAGGTGTCCATATGGTCTTTCAATGCTCACGCTACAAGGGCCAGTTTGCTGTCAGCATGTATTGTATCATGTGATGAACTGCTCTCAGTTCTGTCAGAGTAGCTTAGTAAATATTAGATTACCATTTGGGAAAAATTCTGGGAAGTCAATATTAAACTAATAGTTATAAACAAACTTTTAAGTAAAAACAGCTTAAGCTACTCCCTCACTATAAAATCTTTAAATTTTTAGACAAGATACCTACTTTAGGAGTTTTGAATTCTGAAAAAATTCTTCTTCATATTCTCTTATTGCTTCTATGCTCTCAGAGCTGTTGCCTAGGGAAAGATGATGGTGAAGTTCTCACTAAGAAAATTAATGTTTATTATTTGAAAATAACAAAAAACTTCAATTACAGCAATCCATCTTTGCATACCTTTTCCTGTTACAACAGCAAAATAACCTAGAGCTTTCATTGGGAAGAGTTTTCCTTCAATTATCTGCTGAATCTATTTTTAAAAGTGAGAAGAAGAAATGTGAGATAAAGGTGTACATAATTTTAAAGAGCATTATATACTAGTTAGAAAGCAAATTTACTAATACATATATGCATGTTTGTTTAAATATGTAAATCTATACAAAAGTATTAAAATACATTTCAATTGCTATTTGAAGGAAAACTAATTTAATTTTAGTATATTAAAAATGTATTATTAAAACACAAGTACTAAAATTAAAACTTGCAATAATGTGCAGGCCTTCAGAGTCAGGCCTTTGTTTGATTTTCTGCTCTGCCACTCACTCACTAGCTACTGGCATTTAGAACACTACAACATTTTCAAAATGGTTGCTGAGAAGATTACATGAGATAATGATACTTAACATGGTGCCAGAAACGCAGAAGATTCAATAAATGGTAGCTGCTATTATTTCCCCATACTCTTCAAATATATAAATTCTAACCAAGTTGAACTGTATTTTTTTTTTTTTTACTTTTAAAAAAAAAACTTTAATCCATGGGTTTTTAATTCTTTTAGGGCCAAAAATATTTTTCTAAATGTAACAAAACTACAGACTTTGTCATCAGAAAAAGGCACATTTACACAGAGATCTAACATTAACGCACGGTAAAAGTTCCTTCAGTTCAAGTCTTACTGATGTAAGAATCCCTCCTCTAAGATAGGTCACATCCCTGAGCTAAGGCTCACTCTGGTGTAAAAAAGGACTGCTATATAAGCTTCAATTGCATTTCAAAAGAAATACAAACTCATTATCCTAGAAAAGAAGAAGAAGCAAAAGGAATGAAGAGAGATGGGAAGAAAGCACAGAAATTTGCTTCTTCCTCACTTCTACCCCATCCTTAGCAAGACTAATACTGCCACAGCAGGTCTTGCCCATAAAATAAGGCAAAGGAAAGGTCACAGAGTTAAGAGTTAACACAGTAGGCCTGGGACTGCAGTCCTTAGAAAGGCCTGCTTGTCCTAGGCTGGTATCTGGGAACTTAGTGAGTAAACAATTCCCTACATTGATATAAAACTTTCCCTAAATAACAGTAGCTCATTGTGTAAGCAGTGTGGTTTATGCTGAACATCTGCTCTCCTTTGGGTGTCTGGAATTTTGGTACTTGAGGGTGTCTACATAACCAGGCCCCAGTAAAACCTTTGGTGCCGAGTCTTTAATGAGTAACCTGTTGCTAGAGGGATTAGGTATGTCCTCTGTTGACTGTACCAGGCAAACATGAGCCTGGTTTCCTCCAGACATCATCTCCTGTGCCCTTTCTCTTTATGCCTTTGCTTTGTGTCCTTGCATTGTGATAAACCCTAAGTTTAAGTATGACTATGTGCTTGAGTCCTGTGAGTCCTTCTACACAGTCACAATGTAGGAGCGATCTGTCTCTGAAAGCCCTGGTGGAGAGGTACTGTCCCAGGAAGTCTCAGGTAGAAAGGAGACAAATTCTAAGCATGAGTATGAGGGATGAGTACTTATATCTAAAGTTGTTGTTCTATGAGGGATAAAGATATAATAATAATGAGGACAGATGATGGCAACCATGTATATAACACTTCTGGGCCAAGCACTATTTTAATCATTTTTAAAACAAATGTTTAACTCATTAAACCTTCACAACTTATGAGCTCGTACCATTTATATCCTCATTTCCAACAAATGAGAAAACCTAAAGCACTAAAAAGTTAAATAACTTATCCAAGGTTACATAGATAGCTACCAAGGAGTAGAGCCAGCATATGAAATCGAGCAATCTGAATACAGTTTCTGCACTCTTAACCAGTACACCTTATACCTTTACAATTCAGTAGAGAGCATGACCTAAGTCAAGACCTGAACCTTAGTAACACTTATTCACGTTACCTTGAAATAAACTTTTTTGTTACAAGAGGTAAAGAGGAGGAGCACTAAACACCATGTACAGAAGTCAAAGTCACAGAATTGCAGAAATGAAAATGACCCTAGAGATTAACTAGACAAAAGATTTTCAGCCTTTTTCATCTCATGGCACACAAAGACTAACTACTAAAATTCTGCGACACACAAAAAATTATATTTTTTGATCTAACAAAAAATAGGTATAATTTTGGTTCATTCATACCAGATGGCTATTGCTGTATTGGCTGTTGTCATTTTTTATTTGACAATCTTAAGTCAAAAAACGTAAGCATTCCTGACCAAATAGTCAAGTATTACATGTTTTAAAAATTCTAGTGGCACACCAGCTGAAAATCGCTGGCTGGATTGTGCATTGACTAATTACCAAAAAGTAACAAGATTTGCCCAAGAACACACCCAGCTGGTGGTAGAGCACGGATAAGAATGCTGACACCTGACATCTAATGTAATGCCTTCTCTATCATAAAAATCTGCTAAACAGTCTTTGGTCCATTAGGAAAGATGTTAATCTGCCAAAAAAAACCCCAAAACACAAAAAACAAAAGGCATAAAGTCCAAAAGGAATCTATATCATCACTAATTTTAATCCAATTTATAAACAATTATAAAAGAAAATTTAAAAAGGGAAACAGCACAAATGAGGTTAATGACTATATATCATCATACAAAATTATTTAAAGTAGAGTATGTAACATTAGTAGTTTAAGTATTTCTAAAGCAAACTAACTATAATTATGGAATTTTACTTATACTTCAAAATTATACCTAAGTAATTTACTATGACTTTCCGATGCTTTGTTTTTATAGAGAACCAAGAAAAATCCATAAAGTATTCCATAAGGATTTTTTTTTTAAAACCAACAGTCCCTGTCATAGATGGAGCTTGTACAAAGAACCTTTGCCCTCACCCTGCTTGGGCTAGCCACATTTTTCTCTGCCAGGTCTACTTTGGTCAAAACAAATATTGTCCTTTTTCCGTGAGGATCCATTTGACTGACCAAGTCAGTAACAATGCTGCGTTCGGCATCCACAGATCCATCTGAAAAAATTAAAAACAACACTTAATTGCAAAGTAGATTTTAAAACTCCCACAAGCTACATCTTTGTGTCTACATTATAATAGGGAAGATTTCTCAACACATCTTTGTTATGAAAAGACAATCCAGCCAATAAAAATTTCTATGATGTCTATAGTGAAATTTATCAAAATATCCCCAACCTCAATTCTACTTACTAATAAAATGAATAAGAGATGGCAAAACATATTCATCTTGTATGTTTACATAACCTGCATCTTTACAGCAAAGCCTGGATTGCTAAAGGAAGCATATCAGTGCAATTAAAATAGTTTGATAAGATTTACCTTGAATACACAGGATGATGGCATTAGGATTCTGCATATAAGCTTTGCTGATACTGAAAATAGTTTCCTTTGTGTCAGGAGCCATGCCTGATGTCACAGTCTTTAAAGAAAAGGGTTTGAATGTCATTATCAATGTTCTCCACAATAGGAATAAGATAAAATACAAGTTTTGTATATACTTACACTAATCACACCTGGTAAGTCAACAAGCACCATCCTCTGTAGTCCAGGGCCTTTTACATTTAAAGATATGGTCTGCTCAGGGGAAACAAAGAAAAAAAGAAAGAAAAACTAATTTGGAGGAAGCTTGTAAGGAATTCTTTGGTGACATATATTCTGAAAATTCTATATCTCAATCATTCAGATATGGTGCTCAGAAAAAAATGTTATTCTTTGTTTGATCCTAAAAGTGGTTATATTTTGGGCAAGTCACTAAATATCTCTAGGTTTCCATATCTTTTTGCATAAAATTAGGAGATCTGACTGGAGTAGTGGTTCTCCAACTTTAGGGCTAATAAGAATCACCTAGAAAGCTGTTATAGCATATTGGTGGGCCCAAAATTCAATTTATGATTATGTCCTGGGTGGAGCCTTAGAATGTGGGTTCCTAAAATGCTCCCAGGTGTTGCTGCTGGACAATTACCCACAAAATGATATATTGTTTGGAATATTAAAAAAAAAAAAAATCTGTTATCTTAGAAGAGCATCAATCTAAATGTCAATGCCAAAGCCATGATTTATTTCAAATCATAATCATCAGATTTCCATAAAAAAACTGTTGAAATGAATTGCAACGCTTACCTCAGGGCTAACAGTACAGCCTTCTTTCACATTTTTCCTCATTCGAAGTTCTATTTCATGTCTTAATGCTGCAAGCTATAAACAGAAAAACAACAAAGTCCTAAGAATATCTTCAGCTAACAAATATTCCATTAACTTGTCTTATATAAGCTTATGCAGGTTATAAAGTTACACACATAAACCTCACATGAATGCAACTTACATCTTCCTCTTTGGTAAGATCAAACTCTCGAGAACTATCTTTAAACAGGGCCACATGGTGGGGGCCTTCACTCAGAGTCACCTGAAATTAATAGAAAATGGAGATGTAATAACACAGTTACAATTTATATTAATTCCCATAGCACTTACCTGGTCTAGACAGGGACACCGCATTGCACACATTCAGGCATCCCTTCACACTATCCACACCACGTGTATCCCCGGGGGCTGTCAACACAGCAACACGGAGATCACAGAATTCTTTACTTGTATCGTCCATACATCTGTCACATGTATTGTGATTGCCCAACAAGGTTGCTGGCTACTTTACATCTTCCATGACCTAGGATACTGCTGCCCCTCTTGTTTCACATTCAATGTTATAATACAGTACTGAGCATAAAACCATCAATCTAAAACTTGCAAAACTAACTTCACATGTAAATTTAGGTAAAGGACAATTCATTTATTTAACATCAGTTTATGGAGAGCTAACTGTGTCAAGTGTTTTAGGTGGGGACGCATGAAAAAGTGACTGTTCCTGGTTTAGACCTCACTATATATACATTGGGATAGATTTATACAGAGATATCAGGACAGTGTAGCAAAACCTCGGGTGCCAAAAAAGAGAGTGGTACTAACTAGAGGAGAGCTGAGGTAGTCTTACCCCAAGGAGTGCCACTTGAGCAAGAAACTCTAACAGTTTACAGATTAACAGCCAGTGGTTTCAACTTCTTAACTTCACATTCCTTGACTTTTTAAGTGTAAATTTTCAAGCTTAACTATAATGATCTGATTTTAAAACAGAATTCCTTCTACTGATTTGCTGAAAAGGTTAGATAACAAACCAAAACCAGCTGTTTGAAGGCATCAGAGAGCCATGTGGCCTGAGTCCAAGACCTTGAAAGATTTGAGGGGGATATTCCTGTAGGTATTTTCCCTCAGGGCATTTGCTGGTGGCCTGAGAGAAAAGCTTAAAAAGTGTGATTGGGTCGAGGAGCCAGGGTTATCAGGCAGGCATAAGTTAGGTTGCCACCGTCCCAGAGAACACAGAGAAAATGCACAGGAGAAATGAATCTCCAAATTCTAAGCCCTACATTCTGCACACAATTTCCCTTTAAGGCACTTGCACATTAAGAAACGAAGGCAGAAAGAAGCTGTTAATGAGGCTACCATGCCGAGTCAAGCTCACTCCTCAGGGGAGACAAAAATCTACAGTTCAGAGTCTACTAAGAAGTCTTGATAAATATTAGAGTAAGGACAAATGGGAAAGAAACCAGCCTTGTCAGTTTCAAAGTAATCTGTCCATGCTGCATGAAGAAAGTTAGCTCTTCCTAAAATACAGCATCATCCATAGCCCCTACAGTTAGGGTGCTGGTAACAATGTAAGGAGTTGGCTTACAATGTTGTTACAGTCCATTATAAAGCATGATATGAGGTGTCGTCAGTTCATTTTTTTTCTCCTAAATTAAAAGCATTCCAAGTGCCCATCAATAGCAAAATGGATCTATAAAGTGTGGTACATTCAAACAACATCATAGAACAGAGATTTTAAACTTTTTTCACCTCATAAACTAATTACTAAACTAATTACTAGAATTTAAAAACTATATTTATTTATTTATTTATTTGCTGATCTGAAAAAAAAATATGGGTATAATTTTGATTCATTTGCACCAGATGGCTATTGTTGTGTTGGCTGTTTTCGTTTTTTTTTTTATTTGACAATGCAAGGGAAAAGAGGTCAGTGCCCCTGACTAGTCAGGTATTGCATGTTTCAGAAATTCTAGCGGTATACCAGTTGAAAATTGTTGCCACTGAACAATGAAAAAGAAACTAGCTCGACACAATATGGCGGAATTCACAGCCAGACCCCAAAAGTGCACTCTGTATGAATCACACCAGACTGCTTGTTGTAGGCAGTTATAAACAGACTCTTATTTCTAAAAGATTTTAGCATCGGCCTCATTGCCTCATTTTCTACCACTACTCTGGTGTTCATTCTTGGTGATTTCAATTTTCCATTTCTCCAGTTACTCTCTAATGCACCCACCAGCTGAACTGAAAGAAAAATAAAACATACAACCACACAGTTTGTCTTAAGTTTGTGTCCACAGACCTTAATGGGGATTTAAGTACCACTCAGCAATCCTAGTTATTTCTCGACTTCCCTCATCAACTCATCCCTCACGGGGAAAAGACTTCACGCTTTCCTCTTGCTCAATTTTTAATGCCTTCTCCCCTCTCTTAACAGCTGATAATCTAGGTTCTTATGTCACTGAGGAAGTGGAAGCAATCAGAAGGAAACTTCCACATTTCTACTCACTTGCCTCTGCTGTAAATTCAATAATCAGTTCTCAGTCTTCATCTTCCCTGACTATCAGCAGCACTGATCCTGCCAATCACTCCCTTCTCCTGGCTGTTTTCTCCCCCTGACTTTTAGGACACCAACCGCACTGTTCTGGTTTCCCTCCTACCACACTGGTTGTCCCTTTACAGGCTCCTTCACTGTTTCCATCTCAGTCTCTTAATGTTGGGAGTGCCCAGGACACAATCCTTCAATCCATCCTATCTCTACTCACTCCCCCAGTAATCTTATCTAGTAAGATCGTGGCTTATATACTACCTTTAGTTATTTGATTATGACTCATAAATTTAAGTTTCTAGTTCAGACTGCTCTCCAAACTTGTATATCCAAGTGCTTATTTGTTAACACCCCTCAGCAAGTCCAAAATTCCTGATTTTCTTCACCAAAGCAAATTCATTCTAATCCGGATTTCCCCATGTCAATGGCATGCTTTAATTTATTTGGGCCAAAAACCTCAGACAGGATTAATAACTGACTTCCTCTCTTCCATGTCAAAGATGTCAAAAAATCCTGTTCATTCTACTTTCATAACAGATTCAACCATTTTTAATCACCTTCACTGTTACTTCTCTGGTCCAAGTATTACCTGGATGCTCCAATAGCCTCCTACCTGGTCTTCCTGGTTCTATCTTTCATGCCTATGTCTATTTTCTTTTCTTTTTTCTTTTTTTTTTAAGAGAGAGGGGAAGGAAGGGAGAAAGAGAGGGAGAGAATCACTGATGTGAGAGAGAACATCGATCAGTTACCTCTAGTATGCATTCTGACTGGGGACCAAACCTGCAACCTAGGCATGTCCCCTGACCAGGAAATGAACCAGCAACCCTTTGCTTTGTGGGATGACACCCAACCAACTGCGCCATATCCGTCAGGGCCTATGTCTATTTCCAGCAGGCAGAGTGAGCCTTGTAAAAAGTAATGATGTTAGTCTGCTCAAAATCCTGCAATGGCTCCCACTTTATTTAAAATAAAAACCATCGCTTCTCGGCCTTTTGGCTAAGATCAAGTGTAGTATCTGTTCTTATCAGTTTAATATCTGATACGTCCTCTATCCGAGGACAATATATGAAATGGATTTTTGGGATTAGGAGATGGAATAGGGGCTTGCTCCGCCCACTCCACGCATCGACCTGGTATTGCAGTACTTCCAGGAACGGTGCACCCCCTCCTTGGGGGGGAAAAAATAAAATAAAATAAAAACCAAAGTCTGCACAGTGACTTACAAGTCTTTAATAATCTGCTCCCTTGCCCCACATTAATCCTCTGATCTCATCACCTCACTACTCTTGACTCTGTTCTTGCCACACTAGCCTTAAACATACCTATGTCAGGAGCTTTGCACTAATGTTCTCTCTGTATGAAACACTCTTCAACTAGATGGCCACCCAAATCCCTCCTTCACTTTCCGCAGACCTTAGTTCAATGGTCACTTCTCAGTGCAGTCTACCAGTACCCTGGCACCACCATTCCCATTGCATGGCTTCACTTTTTTCTTTTTTGCACACTTACCACCTTCTAACATACCATGTAACTTAGTCAACTTATTATGTGTACTGTTTATCTGTCTCTCCCTACTAAAACTTATCCTCTGTTTTGGCAAAGATCTTCATTTTGTTTGCCAGCACACTGTCTACAACAGTGCTGGCACATATTAAGTACCTAACAAATATCTTTTGAATGAAAGACTCTGTAGCCATAGATTTCCTTCCTGTAACCATGGATGAATTGTTAGTGCTTCTATATATGCACAACTTGTATACTGAGTTCCAGCCTCTTTTACCTCAATGACTTTGCTCCCTCTTTGTTCCCTCTCTCTTGCATTATTTTTTTCCAACTAGATCATTACCTATAGCATACAAGTATTTCAAAAAACACTCCATTGACCCAACATATTTTAACTGCTACTGTCTCATTTCTCTATTCTTTTTTATATTAAAGCCAGAGAATTATCTACATTGACTTACTCCAATTCCAAGATTCTCATTCTCTTACTCAGAATAAACTCCGAAGGCCTAATAACAGTATAGCCTGTGCCACTGTCCTCTTCTCCCATCACTCTCTCCTCACTCACTCAGCTCCAGTCACATTGGCCTGCTGGCTGCGTCTTCTACTGATTCTACAATAGGAATAATTCCAAATGCTATGTGTCAATTCTTTCTTTAGTTAAAATTCTTGAACACAATTAACAAAGCTCACTGTAGCGGTTCCTTCCCTTAAGAATTTCATTCAGACGGCCTACTTTCTTACCTTAACTGGAGAACGTGTCATCATCTCCCCAGATCCTCGTGGGAATATTCGTGCTTGAGCAATCATTTCCAACACACTAGTTTTTCCTGCACTCTGATCTCCAACCACCACAACCTTACCACAAAACAAATAACATTTATTCATGTTATTTGATACCAACCTATATTTAAATACATTTGCAATGCTTCTGAGAATTTTTTTAGTCTTTTAAAATATCTACAATTTAAGTGATACAAAAATATCTACAAAATAATGATAGTTGATACATGTATGCACACTGAAAATATAAATAGTAAAATATGAGTTGGATCCATTTATAGCCAAATTTTTTATTAAAAACTTGTGTTAACTTAAACCATTATTTCTAAAGCCAAATCACTCATGTTCCACATCTCTTTCCCATAGTTAGTTTACTCTTTACAAAGACATTTTCAATTCTATGAGGTTAAATTTCACTCATGTGCTGAATTTTAATCCACTGCTCAGGTACTTTAATATCATGGATATTATGAATATATAATGCCAAATATCTAATAGCCTTCCTTTATGACACATAAATGTAAGTCCAATGTATAAAAATACTCAAACAACATTCAATACTTATTATATCTAGGTATTATCTAGAACACATGTATTATATAGGTAAAAATATTATGCTCTGATTAAGTGTGTGTATATATATTGCATGTGTATGTATTGTGTTTATGTGTGTATGTATATGAGGGGGACCCAAATAAAATCAGAACTGTCTTCTGGAGGGCGGGTCCCGTATAGTAGCCTTCCCCTACTAGGTGAGTGTTCTAGGAACCCATCTGTATCACTGTACCAGCTGGTGGTGTTGTGAGAGGCTGGGTTCTGCTTTAGTAAGTTTTGTTTTTTTTGAAGACTCTTTCAATGCATCTGCCCATGTCATGATGGGTGATTTATGAGCACAGCTGCCCATACTGCGCTGAGTGTTCAGCAGTTTTTGACGAAAAATGGCACGACCCCATGCCCTACTCTCCCTATCCACCTGACTTTGCACTAAATGACTTTTTTTGTTTCCCTGGATGATAAGAGGTCCTCCAAGGTAAATGTTTTGCCAATGTCAAGGACGTGAAACAAAAAGTACTCAAAGGCATCAAAAGCAACAAGTTCAAAACTGTTTTGGGCAGAGGAAAAAAGGTCTCAAAAGGTATACTGCTTCAAATGGAGAGTAACTTTGATGGTGACTGAAGTTAAAACATGTAAGAAAAAATTCACAATCTTTTTTAAATAAACTCTGGGTTTTTTGGGGGTCATTTCTCATATACATATATACACACACACACACACACACACACACAATTTTTTTCAAACCTAAAGTGTTTTATGCTAATGAACAAGTCCTTTATGTATTAATTTTTCACTTACCCTTGGCAGATGATCTTGTGTATTGTAACTGGCATCATAATCAGACAGAACATCAAGAACTTCAGAATACATGTCAATCAAAGATTTCTATAAAATTAAAAAAATATTAAAAGTGAAAACATTTAAAAAATATAGATGTATCAAGAGAAAAAAGCTGATAATTAAAAATGTTTTTGCATAATTGTTGTATTTTTTCTAATTATGTAAATATATTCATAGTAAAAACAGTATAGAATAAAATTCCCGTTCTTGTTATCTGATTTATCCAATTTATTTTATTTAGACATACACAAATTATTAAAGCACATTAATTCAGGATCTCCTAACTTTCTAATTAAACAGTGAAAGAGGGAAGTTATTATTTAATATTGAAAAGTTAATATTAAATGCCCAACAAAGACACATCATTAACACCATAAAAGCCAAATAAGGGGTCACGTGACCAACTGAAAGGCAATCATCTTCTACTGAATTTGGTGTGTAAGATAGAGAGATAGAGATAGATAGATTGGGGCGGGGGGGGGTGATGGGAGAGAAAGACTGACAAATCTCTGAAGTGGAGAAACAATCACCAAAAAGACTGTTAAATCAGTAAGCAAGACTAAATGTACTTTGACAACTGGGCAGGCTAAAAGGTGAGAGCACCAAGGGCAAGCATTCTGCAGTGTTCCTCCCTGTATGTAGAAACAGGATCAAACATACTACCTGACAAATAACAAGGTATAAATAAGTATCTGATTTAATCTCTTAATACCTGGAACTAATAAATGGGAAGCAACTGCTACCCCTCCACTGAAAAATGAACAAAAAATTCTTTAAATTTTGATTGCCATTTAATTTTATGACAGAAAATGCTGTTTCTGAGATAAACTCTCAAAATATATTAACACTTGGACATAACTTTTCTCAATTGCCATGTGTAATGCTATTTATTTGTTTTATGCAGTCATGACTTAAAGTCAGAACTACTAATACATGTTGGTTAAACTACAATTACATTTCTTTGGACCATGGTTACCAAATGTATGTGCCAAGATTTATGCAGTTTTGCTACATGCAAATTCAGTTTATGTATATGGAATGTAAGCTAAATGCATTACTTCAATTTCACTGAGCACATACAGCTTGGTTTAGTGGGCAATAATAAAATTTAATGTGATGATAATGGTAATTACAAATATGCTGATAAAGTACCAGCAATATGCTTTTGCAAAAATTCTTTAAAATGCCTAAGGAACTTTCCAGAAGAAAATGTTAACTTTCTTAAAACTGAAGAAAGTAGCCGAATCATTCACTGTGGAAATACAAGTAAGGTAATGATGGAGTCATATATAAATGTCCGTCAACTCAGAATCCTGATTTTATAGGTACAGAAATGATATAGGCCTAAAGATAAACTAGGTATTTAAGAAAATAAACCGATTCATGAGAAACGACTACTAAAAATATGAAGATTTTATGGGCATAGTTTAAAACAAATGTCTGGAAACTAAAATTTGTAAAATGTCCTAATATAGGAAGACTCCCTACCCCTGAAGGATATCAGGTGAGAAAGAAAAGGAGAATAAAACTCTTTATGGTTCCTTACACACTAGTATTCATGAACATGCAATGTGAAATGGCAAAGTTCTGAGAACTAACACATACTAAGATAAACTAAAAATACCTTAAGTTTTCTATGATGGATGCCTTTGTCATCTTTCTGCAACACTAATTTTCTCAATTCTTTGTTCTCCTTTTCTAAACGTTCCAAGATTCTCTGGTACTTTAACTGAAACAAAAAAAATACCATTAACTACATAAGAAAAACATGGGTTAATAAATAATATTGTCTAAATTAAAAGCTTCCAAAATCCTGAAATCATATCTCCTATTTAAAATAAATTATTTCATTTAAAAAAACTCCTATGAAAATGTTGAGTGAATAAAGTAAATTATGAATATTATCTCATACAAACTGAAATTCATTATAGTTTTCTATTTGGCATTTTATTTGGAAAATTCTATTTACAATGAAGAAATTAAATTATTTAAATATGCTAAAAGTATAAGCATTTAAAGAAGTCTGTCCTTATGTACACTCATGAAGCAGTATTTCCTAGTACATCAAAATTTTAAGTATTGATTATAAGGGATAGTTCATAAAGATTCAAATTCTTCCCATTACTCATATTATTTTATGTCTTAATTGAAATGATATAAAATAATAACAGCTAACAGTACCTGAGCATGCATTATGTGACAGGCCCGTTAGTGAGTGTTTCACCTGCATTAACGTCCTTAAGCCTTCACGTGAGGCAAAGGTTCAGAGTTTTGAATATAGGTCTGAGTAAAGGGCTTAAACTCTTCCAAGTTTTGGTAAGTTTCTGTGGCCAGAGATTTTTAAAATATAAATATAAAAACATAAGAAGACCTAGTATGTTTAAATAGGTTGATTTTTCAAAGTATGTGCCTGGCTACACACTTTTCTTGAATAAATGTGATCCTTTTATAATTGGTCCTCTCAGTTTGTGTATTACTATTTCTTCTCTAAGCATTGACAAGATTTGGAAAACTTAAAAATCAGTCCATCCTACAACCTGAAGAATGTTTATGTTCAACTTAAAATATCATGCCTTTTATAATGGAAAATATTTCTTAGAATTATTTTTAGGTTGTAATCTTCTGAGAACATAGCAATTGACAGGAAATCTTGATTCTATCTTCAGAAAATGTCCTGCTTAAGCCAAATGAAAGGAAAACAAATTAGGTAGTTTAACTATATAGTATGAAACAAACAGAACTATAGGTTAGACTATACCACATACCTTTTTTACAGAACTTAGTCATTTATATGTAGTCATAGCATATAATAGTAGTATACAAGGTCTGTCCAGAAAAATCTAACCATTGTTAATATAACAAGAATGGTTTGCATGACATCAATATAACCTGGCAGCCAAGGAGAGTGGACTGGAATGCACATGCATGAACAATGATGACTTCACTGTACTAGTCATTGGGGGCAATAGACACCACTGAGTGAGCATGTCTGCTATGTGGCCACCGCATTCAAAATGACTGAGTGAGTAGAGCAATGAATCTGCATCAAATTGTGTGTTAAGCTTGAATACTCCTCCACTGAAACTAGTTGGATAATTCAAAAGGCTGCAGCTATGGGAAACTGGTAAATGGCAACTTTATCATGACAATGCGCCGACTCATGCATCGTATCTCATGAAGAGTGTTTTGGCAAAAACATCAAATCACCCAGGTGACCCAGCCCAGATTTGGTGTCCTGCAACTTCTGGGTTTTCCCAAAACTAAAATCACCTTTGAAAGAGAAGAGATTTCAGAGTGTCAATGAGATTTAGGAAAATACAATGGGGTAACTGATGGCGCTTGGGAGAACTGTGTGAGGTCCTAAGGTGCCGACTTTGAAGGAGACTGAGGTGTCTTTGTCCTACATAGAATGTTTTGTTTCTTGTATCTTCTTCAGTAAATGTCTTTTTCATAGTACATGGCTGGATACTTTCCAGACAGATCTTGTACATAAAAAAATTCTGGTGGTATTTAAGAATCAGATCTTTGCTATCTAATATGGTAGCCACCAGTCACATGCAGCTATTAAGCACATAAAAATGTGGTTAGTTTAAATTGTGATGTGCAGTTGAGTGTAAAATACATACCAGACTTCTACGATTTGGCAAGTAAATAATTAAATAAAGCATCTAATTTTTTTATTCTAATTACATGTTTAAATGATACTATTTGGAATTTACTGTGTTAAATAAAATATTAAAATCTATTCTACACATTCCTATTTACATTTTAATGTAAAAATTTTAAATTACATATGTGGCTTGTACTCTATTTCTATTGGATATCACTGACATAGATAACTCCAGGTTTAATTATATCATAAATTCTCCAATCAGTGTTTGTGTCAATGCTCAGTGGCTAACAACTATAACTAAGCACAAGTCCAAGGGTTAATATCAATGCATGTTATAAGGGTGGTAGGTAGGGTTTCCTCTGGCTCATTTCTTTGTAAATATGGCATCAATTATGGATCTACAAAATTTCTGGGGATGAAACCATTCTTTGGTGCAGGTGTCAATCTGTAGTTATTTTACCGAGATGTGCTACTGGGCTGTCCTCTAGAGTTCTAGATCAGTAATTCCGAAATCTAAGAATGCATCAGAATCACTTGAGGGCTTTTAGAAACAAAGATGGCTGGATTCTACTCCCAGGGTTTCTGATTCACTGAGTCTGGAGTGAGGCCCACTGCATTACTAACAAGTGCTACTTCTTAGATGCTACTGCTCCAGAGACCACACACTTGTGACCAATGATTCTTAACCTCTGGCTGCAGACTGGAATTGCCTAGCTAGGAAGTTTAAAAAAAAATATATATATAGAGAGAGAGAGAGAGAGAGAGAGAGAGAGAGAAAGAGAGAGAAAGAAATAAGAGAGAGCGGAGAGAAGAGAGAGGAGGGGGAGAGAGAGAGAGAGAGAGAAAGAGAGAGAAAGAAAAAAGAGAGAGCGGAGAGAGGGGGGGGGGGGAGAGAGAGAGAGAGAGTTAGGCCCAGAGCACAGGCGATACTAATGTATGAGAATCAATTCATAGGTATTAAGGAAACCTGTGACTCAAAATATGCTAATTGTTTAATTTCAGCTAGATTACCCTATGCTGTATTTTCCCCCCACAAAGTGAGACCCAAAATAAGATTTCTTTTTAACTTAAAAGAAATCTTAAATATTGCAAATCATTATCTATGTAAAATAACTAAAAATAAAGTGGGTGATAAGGCAATTTTGCACTAGAATGTTACCTACTCAGTATGTTGCACAGATCTTGAAAATAATAATAATTTTATAATCAATTATAAGAGAATAGCTTTTCAAAGTCGTGCGAGAAATACCCTTAGAAAACTTATCTGATTGGTTTTGGGTTTTAGAGAAGCAAAGGAAAAAGTTCATAAGAGCTCGCCAGAGCAGTGGTAAACACAACTGTTATGTTAATTATAACTGTTAATTAAATTAATTAGCCTATAAATGTAAAAATGCAAGCATAGGTTAACATAAGGAAAAGACACTTTCCCTCATTTTTCTAGTTTTTCTTTAAAATGAGAAGCACAAGATTCACTGAAAAATAGCTTTTCACACATAAATGACTCAACCACACTTATAAGTCCTTTATTCCTTATTTCTCAAATAGCTTTTGCATTTCTTGCATCTATTGATAATAATGTTCTATCATTAAACCATTCCAAATTTTGCTTTGTTAAAAAAGTAAATTTCCACATCAGCAAGCTTATATTAGAGTATAAAAAAAGTTCCTGGTTCTTTTCATGTATCAGAATTACCTGGGTATGCAGAAGTTCTTCTTGAAGTTGGTCAATTTTCTCTTTGTCTGACACCTAAATATTTAAAATAAATTAATTTTGAGTAGAATTAGTTTTATATAGACTATAGTGAACAGTAAGTTAAAATTTTTAAAAAGTATTTTTAAGAGTAAAAACTGACTTTGCATGCATATTTAATCAAAGCAAATTTTAAATCAAATTATATTTAAAAATACAATTGTATTCATCAATAAAAATAGCTCATCAAAATTTTACATTAAGTAAAAACCTTAAAAAGTAACATTTTTCTGTTGACACTCTAGTCTTTTCTTATGGCTTTTTAGTTCTTCACAGCTTGTTTTGTGCCCAGGCACAAACAGCTGGATGCATGGAGAAATAAAGCACTGACAGAGCTACCGAAATGTGTTTTGGGAAGTCAGATACATGTTCTCGTTTACAGGTATTGAAGAAGTTCATTGATCATAGTGTGTATTTTAAGGAAATATTATCTATTTCCATTCTGTAAGTAGGGAAGTATTTAATAAATGCAAGGAACAACTTGCATTTTCAGAACTCTAAGTGGAGCCAGATGATTATTTTTAAGTCCAGTTCTAGTGCAAGGTCTGCTAACACAGAGCGAATGCATCAGTAACAACGAAGTAAAGCAACTAAAATTAATTTGTACATAAAACAAAAGTAGGACCAAATCCACAGGTATTGTGGAAACTACTTCAAATTGTTATTAATACTAATAGTTATAAAATAAAATATCCAAAAACAACAAAGAACTTTATTGTATAACAGGCTTCAAAGTAGTCACAATACAATTCTAAATATAAAACACAATGATCAATTTTAATCAAAATGATGTCATTTATGACATATCCACATGACTGTGCTTTGATTCCTTGGTGAGGTACAGAAGATGTCATCCTCAGTCTTTCAAAATAACTAATTTTTGACAATCAAAATTTGTAAACATGAATTTATTTCATAGGACATAAAAACCAAGTTAAAATTCATGTAAATCCTTGTCATTCACTGGCTATATAAGCAATCAAGACATCATTGTAGTAAATGCATATGAAAAAATTTTAAATAATTTGTTTATTTAAGAAGGCATTAATAATTCTCATCCATGCAATGCAGTTATTTTGAGATTTTAATTCCTATTTCCATTTTCTCAAATATTTCCCCAATTCTCCTAAGTAAAAATGACAAAGCTTGCTAGCAACAATAGACACATTATTTTTTTCCTTAAAAGCCTATGCCTAAAAACCCACAAACATGACTTAGTACTTAGAAAAAGGATAGCATAAAACAAACTTTATTGTTGTTTCCTTATTCCTGTATAGCAAGCAGAGACTTGGGGGTAGAAGTTTTTTCATTTTACTCTGTGTTTAATAGATTGGACAGGAATTATTAACAGCCTCCTAAAATGTGAGGAACCAAGAAAGTTGGAGAGGAACCCACAAACCAAAGAACAAAATGTTGAAGGCCAATGAAGAAATAAATAATTCCGCATTCTGATTATATGGCATGCCATCACACTGTAACAATGTGGTCATAAAAATTTTGACATGAGATTAAATTCCCAATTCATTTTAAAAGGTACTTTGATTTACTTTGTTCCATTAAATATTCATCCGACTGTAGCTAATTTATTATGAAATGTATAAACAGCATTAGCATAAACTGTTTTAGTTTGAATGTGAATATTTAATGATTTCATGCAATATACCCTAATTTACAATAGAAAATTCATCATTTTACACAGTGGGGCAATAATTAAGAAACTCATACAATTACACAAAAAGGTCACTAGACTGTTTACTATAAGCCAAGGGCTTAAAAGGTTAATGGAATAATTTGGTAAAATAAAAAGGGTATATAAAAAGTTAAAATGATACCAGGTTATTAGAATATTACAAACACAATCTTATACTAACAATATTTAGTATCATGACTGTTAAGATTTTCATAAATTCATATTTTAAGAGTATTCAATTTTATCATTTGCCCTTCAGGCATGATTGTTAAGAATAGCTCATGCAGTTTTACCTTTTATCCGCTTAGCTTAATGGAACACCAAAATTAGTTATATTACAAGACTAGAGATAGTGGAGTCAAAAATTACACTTACTATCTAGGAAACAAGGTAAAAACCTTTAGGTTTACAAAATAAGTATTAAAGATTAATGAGAAAACACTTTTACATATTTTCTCAGGAGACTAGCACATGCTATTTTTAATCTGTCACTTATTTAAGGTGTTAACTAATAATCTGGGTATATTTTATTTTGATGCACTTTGCTGATAAAATTCAACTACTTACGACAAGAATAAGTTCTTGTCCTATTGTTTAATATATTGTTTGCATTACAAAATTAATGTTAAACTCACCCTGACAGAAATGAGTATCAATGATCTTGAAAACCAGGACTTTTCTACAATTCCAGGGCTGTGAAACTGATGGAGAAAGAGCGGAATCCTCCGCAGAAACAAGCTAAAGCTGGAAGACAAAAACCTTTACTAGCTCCTCACAAAACCAAGCCTGATTTTAAAATTTTAAGTATTTCTTCCTACTAAGCCATTGTGGTCATTCTGAAATACCAAAATACATATATAAAAGACTCATAAAAATTTCTATGCTTGTGTATATATTCATAGGAGGCAAAAGTAGCAATGGCAGTTTCAATCTACTGTCACTGCATGAGCTCCTTTGCTCAGAAGATACAGGGAAAATTTATTAGCTGTACTACTCTGCTATATGAAAAATGAAGACCTACTTATATATTCAAGGAGATAAGGGAGAAAGAATGATTAAAAAGGAACAAAGAGCTGTCGTTTTGTACTTCAAGTAAACAACAAATACCTGGAATGATAAAAATCTTATGAATTAGGTTTCTGATCTTATGAGAGTGAAGGGCTAAAAAGTCATCTGTTGGGGGAAAAGGGGGGAAAACACAGTAAGAAAACTATCTTTCAGGACAGTAAAGGGAACAGGTCACTATAGAAGACCATATATGGTTTTTAGAGTCCCATTTACTTTCACACAAGGTAACATCACAGTGGGCAGGAACGGGCTTGGTTTGGTGCTCCACTGTGTGCCGTAATGAAACAGATGTAGGAATAGTCCTGTCAGTCACCATTTTACAAACAAGGAAAGCGAGGCAGAGAAGAGTTATGTGGATAATCCAATAAATATTATAAATAGGGATATCTCTATGCCTGAGAAAAGGCAAGTGGGCCTCAAATGAACATTAACCTTTGGCAATGTAGAAAATAAAATAGAATTTATTACCAACACCCTTTGACATCAGATTCAAAAAATTGTAAACTATATCTTAAAATCTTAAAATGGCAGATCTATGGAACTCAGTTCAAATTATTTTACCATTATGAACACTTAATAACAACTGTATTTCTATTTCTAAATAATCTAACAGAACATAATAGTTTCTTCCCCTTCTTTCTGTAACAAAGCTAATAAGGATGGTTCAGCCTGAGTATCCAGTCTGTTAGAATATTTAAATGGTATTCTCAACAGCATACAGAACAGAGCATGCTAAAGCATCACTTAAAATAAGTCTTCCCTTGGTAACACACATGCTTTAATTTAACCAAGTAGGAAAATAATTTATTTTCTATATCTACCTATGTTATTCATTCACTGAAAGTTAAACAATATATAGTAGTTGATTCCACAGCCATGGAATTGAGAAAAGCCAGGAAGTAACACTGAAAAAATAAACGAAACGGAGATAAGTACTCTCAAGTATTGACCACCACCAAACGAGGTAAGTTAGTTAGCCAGCAGAAGTGTTGCACTAAATCATTACCTACAATGTTGGTTGATTCCAATATCAGAACCTATAGGAAGCTAACTACATGTTTGACAGATTATTTTTTCCTGAATGAGGTTTGTAATTAACTTTAAAAATTTTTCTAATACGTGATCATTAGCTGACTTTATCAGTGTATGACTTTAAAATCATTACATTTATTTCATTTTGACTCAGAAGTCACTTTTAAGAACATTGACCTTGAGGTCTACACTGTGGAGTCATCTAGCAGCCAAAAGCATATTTTTAAGGACTTCTTGATTGCATCTAAAACCAAATATTTGTATAGACTTATCCTGACTTTTATTAGAATCTGTTCAACGACCAGAATTAGATGAGATTTCTCATATTCTTTCAGTGGTCCAAGATAAAATTTATTTGTGCTGATTTATTGATGAATGTGGACAAACTTAATGCAATGAGTTTATCAGCCTGTATAAGAATAACTATATCCAAAAGTTAAATCCAAATAGTGTTCTATAAAAAATAAAACTGTTCTCTGCTGATCCATTTTAGCTACAACACACACATTTCATTCTTTAAATAACGTAACATAGTCATCCATAGTAATCCTTTTCATTTTAGAAATAAAAACTGAGAGAACAACAGACAAGTTGGCTATGAACTTAGGATGACTGAATAACTGGACCAAGTAAACTGCAATTCATAATTCTTCCCTAAATATAAAACCATGGACCCTTACAGTTAATCTAATTTTTAGAAACTATATATATTCTCAGTATGTTCCACTCCAGGAAAATTACATAGTTGTATTATGTATCTTTGATATTTTTACTTTGTCAAAAATAACTTCTCATAACTGGAGTCTGTGAATGGATTAAGGCGACATGATCTTGGTAGAAACGGCTGATTAAAGCGAACACATCAGTAGCCCCCTTAAACCATCCATCACCTTGCGCTTCTGTTGGGCATAGCTCGTGCTATATTGGCCAGCAGCTCTGCGTGCTTCCTCTTCATGTTCTTGAATTTGCTGTTGTAAGAGAATGAGCTCACCAAGCAGACCCTGCCATGAGTTTACAATGAGGAGAAGAGGAAAATTGGGGAGGAGAACAATGTTAAACCAAAGGGCACAAGAAAGGAACAGATGTAAGTTAGGGAAGAATGGACAGCATATAACAAAAAATGGAAATATTTATGTACCTTTAGAGCCACAATATAATTGGGCTCTGTAACCACATTTCCATTTTTCCCCCTCAGTAAAATTAGATGTCTCAGAAATATAAAACAGCATAGTTTAAAAAGTGAAAAGGAAAATGTAGTAAGTGACTGCTGAATAAAATGAACCAGATCTATAATATCAACCTACAGTAAAACCTAGACTAACTGGAACGCTACTGGAAGATGGTGCTATAACTAACTAAATTCCCTAGTAACAGGAAACAAATACGTCAACCCCTATTTTTGAATGGCCAATATAAGCTAGTGTATGCTCTAGATTTGATACATATAGGGGAAAAAAAATGAAAGTTCTTCAACAGTGTTGACCTTATAGGCCTAAATCTTTTAATTCTTAACTATAATTCTCATAGGATTGAGTGGACAATGCACAGTGGTTTATTTACTTATTAAATTTTTTAAATTTTTTTCTCGATACCTGATGTCTTCACTTAAATAGTATAGTCCCTCAAAATTATTAATTTGAGTTTCTAAGCATCAAGTTAATCAAAGTTTTCCATTAATCCATATATTCTTCATGTCTAGACACACAAGCTTACCTTACTAAAATTTAGGGCTTCTATTCTTTTAGCAAATTAGAAAATAATGTCTTAGGTAGTTTTGACTTTACACAATACCAAAGAAATAGCCTAAATTTTCACTTTTTATGAGCTGTTTGACATTAAATAAAAATAGCCTCTGAGAACACAGAGTACACCAATTACTAAAGCAAAAGCATCATAAAAGAATACAATTAAGCTGTGGAGATAATATAATTATTATAAAAATTAAAAGTGAAAAAAATACCAGTTTGGATCTATGTACAAAATAATCACCATTTTTATGTTTTAAATTCATTCCATTTAATAATCAGGAAATATTAATCTGGTGCAGTTTTTATCACAGTTTTATCACAGTGTATTCACATGTGCCATAATACTAAAATACATGTCATTCTCTGTACAGTATTTTTATTTACTGTCCTATTAGACAACTGATATTGAGAAATGTGGGAGAAAAGACAAGAATTGACAATGTGACAAGCCTAGTATTTTCTCGATGAGAAACCTTGAAAAGTTCCAAAGAATTAGGTCACTAATTTGCATAAGAGTAGTATTCTGGGAGAAAGATGGGCTCGATATTTACCAGATTATAAAGAGTTAAACTAATTCTAATTAAAATAATCTAAATTAGGAGTTTCGGATAGCTTCAGAGCTTTTTATTAATAATTGTCAAAAATATTTTATTTTGTATAATACAATTAGAAAGTCTCTTAAAATAAAATACATTCAAGTTTTAATTAGTAGACTGATCTAGAGGTTTTATAACTCAGTTTACTTCATATAATCCAAAGATTTATAGAAATAAAGGTTTTCAGAAAAGAAGTAAATACAAACAAAAAAGCATTTTAAACTAAGGGAAAGTATTAGGATATAATATAGGGGATTTTTATTTTGTTTTGATTCTTAGTTTCCATGCGTGAAGCTACAATCATTGACAATAATGATGACATTGGCTGACTTACTATAAATCAAAGGATGAAACTAGTAGATAGTTTTGCATGACAAGTAAGAAAACATCAAAGTAGCAAGTAACGTAACTAAAATTTCAACATTTGTTTTCAAATTCAATAATATAAAATATATTTATAAAAACCTTATCTATAAAGATATATCTTTTAAGTAAATACTTTTATGGTCATTGATAAGTCTATCAAGGAAAGACAATGCCAACTCACTACTCTCATCATTCCTATAATTTTTTATGTCATGTTTTTCATTTTTTGTATCATTGCTGTTCATCGAATAGAAAGATCCAACTTATTTTTATTCGTTAAGTCACTTATCATAATTACTTCTTCTGATCACCCAAGTGTTTAGATTTCTCAAAACAATCCCCTTTTAAAGAAGGGAATTCTCATGTTGGCTTATACAGCAGACTACCTGTGCTTTAACTAACATACCAACCAGTATTCTAATTTAAACAATGCCAGAGTGGTGATAAAATATTCCATATTTCTTAACTGTGCTGGTCTATCAGCACACGGTTCTTTTTTATTGTTTGTATCTATATACAAATTGTCCCCTTTCTAGTGATTGTTAACTTTCCTTTCAATTCTGTTACTGAAGGAAGCACTGCAATGTGAATATAGTTGAAATGGTTACCTCCTGAAAAAAGTAGGAAGAAAATAAGAATTAGACATAGAAAAAACTATTTACACTATGCTACATGACTAAAGGACATTACCCTTATCCAATTTTAGGCACAAAATCTCACCCTGAATACCAAGAGACAGACTCTACATCTTCTAAGTTAAGGCCATATAGAATAAGGAAGTGGAAGACATATGTATCCACTGTGCAAGACACACTCCTCAAATGGACAAAACACATTTTTTCCAATAAACATTTTCCCAAGCTCAGACATTATTCTCTCAAGAAAGAGCACATATTTTTAAATGATATATATTACATATCAAATATAATTGTTATAAATAACAATAAAGTTATTATAAACAACTACAGATGATATACTCTTTAACTAGCTACTGTCAATTTGACACTGCAGCTCTCATAGTCTCATATTTCATATACAGTTTGCTCAGTTTTTTTCAGGGCACATGCCTGGATTGTGGGTTCGGTCCCCAGTTAGGGTGCATACAAGAGGCAACCGACTGATGTTTCTCCCTGTTTCCCTCCCTTCCCCCTATCTAAAAATAAACTAGAAAATTGTAAAGTCAGATCAAGAAAATCAGTGATAACTCTAGAAACCAAAATATCAACTGAGAATGCTGCAAAAACCACAAAAGTTGAGTTTGATAGAAAAAATTTAAATAATGTTTTAAAATACATTTTAATATATTTTAGAAATTAACAGCAAAGCAGAACCCTTACTGTGTTTCTTTTTATACCTAGCACCTAGTATAATGCCTGACACATTGCATGTGTGAGAGCCAGCATCTAGAGCAGGGCTTGACATACCTGTTGTGTGAACACATCAAATTACAACCTACTTTTACTTAATACGGCACACAGTTTCCAGCATAAAACCAAACTGGTTTCCTAAAAAACGCCAATTCTGTAGGTAAGCTACACATCAACCCTACAATCAATCCGTCTTGCCCATTTTTCCCAATCCCCAGAACATACGCCACTGAGATTAAGAAGAGGAAATAAATACGATGTTAATTTATGCACTGAAAGTGTAAGTTAACAATGATGCACAGTAGTTGTCATCATTATCACCCTAATAGCCAATATTTATTTAGTTTTATTATGTGCCAGATCTTGTGCTAAAAGGCTTTCCATAATGCTCACAACAACCCTATCAGGTAGGGTTTCCCCTTTTATAGAAGACTGAACAGAAATTCAGAGAAGCTAGGTAACTTGTACAAGGTCACACAAGCTCTGCAGGCAGAAAAGGCAGGATCTGAATACAGGCAAATGTGGCTACAAAGTCTGCACATGATACCAGTCTGCTATCACCTTGGTCTCACTCTCTGTAAAGAACCTTTGACCCCTCAGATTCAGTCTACATTTTAAAGAAGAAAATGGTAGTACTACAATACCTTGGAAGGCATATTTAAATTACTCTTTAGAGAAGCAGTAGGCAAACTATGGCAGGTTGGCTAAGCAGCCCACAGAGACCTTATGGCCTACAAACTTAAAATATTTACTCTCTAGCCCTTTAAGGGAAAGTTTGTCAACCCTTGCTATTATTAATTTTATAAGTAACTTGGAGCCAGAAAAGAACTTTAGAAAAGTGAAGACATCTTCCCCCTTCCATTTAAAAAATATTTCTAGTCATTAAACTACTTTTCAGCTTGAATATTCTGTTATTTGACTAGCTAAAAAGAGCTATTTTCCTATTTCTTTAATCTCCCAGTAATACAAAACTGCTCATGATATTTATAGGGAACTGAAAAATGTTTATTATTGGTAATCAGAAAGAAATGAGTCTTTCAACTTGGATTATTTAACTTGCTCCAATTCAGAAATACAATATCCAATTTTACTATTTTGAAAACTACAAATAATAATTCTAAGAGATAAACAGATAAGTCTATCAGGAAGAGTATTATGAATATTACAATTCCTACCAAATCCTCTTTGGTCTAAGTTTCCTATGAAGTGTATTGCAAATAGTATATAATGGTTTTTAAATGACATAAAAATGCAGTGTGCTTACTGCTAAGGAATAAAATAAGGTTGTCTGATTTGCCACTCCACTTGTCCTCAGGAGACCTTCCCTGCTTTTCTTCCTCTGATCTCTCTGCTTCCCATCTACTATATCCAGTACACAAGTGATTTGGCTTCCTGGCTAAGAATCTAAGCAAGCATATATTGCTAGTTGTTAGATGCCCAGGCAGCCCAAACTTCCTAAATCTGTAGTTACTTAATGGTACTGGTTGTAGGAATTTCATTTTACCAGTTACCACAATTTGTTACATAAGGAATCCCAGAAAGGTAAATACTATTTAAGCAACACTGCTTTGTTACAATTCAGTAGTATATACACTACCTTCCTATTCTTGTTCTCCTCAATAGCTGCCAAATATTGAAGGCCAAGAGAATACACAGGTAATCAGAACAGACAGACATTACATAAAATCTTTGGGCCCACTCTTGTTGGCATCAATCAAATTTATTACTTTAAGTTAGCCTCTCCTCTACTGAGTTAAATCAATCAACTGATTTTGCTAACAGCTCAGCATTATCCTAAGTACTCTGAGAACAGAGGTTTTGTGGTACAAATATTCAAAAGTAAGAATGCAAACCAAAATAGTGTTATATTTGGCAAGTGTTTTAAATGTTAAGAGTGTAATTTATGGAACTAAAATGATTATAGGAGCCTTAATGAACATGACAAACAGGCTGGGCTTTCAGGATGAGTGGAAATTAGGCAAAGGAAAAGGAAAGAGCTACTTCAGCTGAGAGATACAACATAAGCCACACAAATAAGAAATAAAGTAATGTGGGAAGAGCAGTAATGTATGACTGTTAAATAATTATATTTAAAACAGTAATACCACTTTTCATGACTTAGACTTTTAAAAGGCCCTCCAAGTATTTTCTATAAATTTTAATTGTGCTTGTAACCTTCAGAATGACCATATCCTTATTTCTGAGATATGTTTATGACCAATCAGAAACTCAGAACAAAAGCATAGATAATAAAATGTCTCATTTAACAAATTAATTTTCACTAGAACATAACAATCTTACTGAATCTAAAGGAGATACACTAAACAGTCTTGTCGTCTATAATGTATTATTGATCAATATACAGAAAACTATTGATAAATTAATTCACTAAAATAGGCCCACCACTCCAATTTCAAATTTGTTTTCAGGTAGTTCTAAAGGTCTCCAAGTCTCAAAAATATTATTCAGTTCACACCAAGGGCTCTTTCTACTATTTTAAAGAGGATACAAGTTTTAAATTTTTTTGATTAACAAAAAGCATTTATTAAAAAGTGGTTTCAGTATTTTTCCATTTTTTATTTATCAAAGACACATACCAGAACTTTTCATCAACATATAAATAACTATTGTCCACAAACTGAATGGATATAAATCCAGCCGAAATCAAAGAACTTGATGTCTAGTTAGCCCATTCATTGTTGTGTGCAAAGATATGCTTTCTGTAGACTTTCTGAAGACCTCCATTATAATCTTCCGAAACACCTAAAAGTCTAGTGATCCCAGACTGGGAACCACAGGTAATCACTTCATCATGCTGTTCATTCTGTCTGATTCAAGCCAAACAATCTGACATCTGTGTTCCCTCAACTCCCCATCACTTTCACGTCAGTTGACTTTGAAAGGTTCTAACTGTTCCTCTACTTGCCAGCACTTCTGCAGATGTGTTCTCCTATTAGAAAGCACAAATCTTTTAGTTCTAGTTGTAGAAATGTTTTCAATTTGTTACTGTTATTTTTAAATATTTGGTTCACATTTACTTTTACATTTCTAACAGAAGTATAGCCGGAAACTTAGGCACAAACCAGACAACCATTAAGCTAAGGCATGACTGCTTCAAACCCTGAATACCATTTTAAATCTTGAGCTTTTGGACACCAGACTGAACCAATCACAAAGGAATCAGCTAAACTCTGGATGCTAACCTACCACCCCTGGTCATTGCCCAAATGTTCATACTTGATGTTTAGAGTATTTTCAGAAAGCCTAGGGCTAAGCTAAGGTCTCTCCTTTGTTATCACAAACCATCAGTTTGTAGAAAGGGCTCTTAAAATCAGTTTCTCTACACCTTGTCTGAATGGTTCTTTATTCTCAAGTATAACAGGTAACAGTCAAACATTGAAACTGTAAGGCTGCATAGTAATAAAATTAAAATCACTAGAAGAGGCTGAAAATGTTTTGCCTGTATATTAATTTTTTTTAATACCAGCATTTGCTACAATTTGATTTAGCCTGTAAAGAAAGCAGCTTCACTCCAACTCCAGATTTACTATTGTTAGAAATAATAATTGGTCAGCCTTTTTAATGGGCAAGATAATCACTATAAACTAAGAAAAAACTAAAAGAAGATAGTCTACAAGGGCATTTATCTTCAAACAAGCAAAGGAGTAAATTACAAAATAAAGCAATAAATTTGCTTTCTATGTATAAAATCAAATCTGTTGTATTATGTTGGCCAAACAGTTTGTTCAGTTTTTTAGGTGCAATGGCCATAGTAGGACTTAGTTGTCTTTAACTTAGTTTGAAACAATTTTGTTAGATTGTTTTGTGACTGCTGTCATATCAGTGTGCATTTTAAAAAAAACTAATCAAAATTGGTGAATTTTTGTGCAGTCATTTTAATATTGAAGATGAAAGAAAATAAGCAACGTTTTCAGCATATTATGCTTTATATTTCAAGAAAGGAAAAGATGCAACTGAAACGCAAAGGATGATTTATCTGTACAGTGTATGGAGAAGGTCCTGTGACTGATCGAACATGTCAAAAGTGGTTTGCGAAGTTTCTTGGTACTATTGACATTTTGGCCAAATAATTCTTTGCTGTGGGGCTGTCTTATACATTGGAAGACATTTAGAAGCACCCCTTGTCTTCACCCACTAGAAGCCAATAGTGGGTGATTGCCGAGATACTCAAAATATCCTAATCAATAGAGTTATTGGTGAAAAAGAAAACTGTGTCTTATTTTACGGTAAAAACTAAACGGACTTTTTGGCCAACCAAATATAATTAAATTTCCTAAGATCTGTTCTCTTGTTTCTTCTATACTCTAGAGCTCCTGATCTTCTATTGATCATTCATTTATCACCTTAGTAAGATTTTGAGGTAATTATCTGAGCCAGGCCCTAAAGTAGACTTCCCATTGACCAAAACGATCCTAGGCTCTATCAGAGAAAAGCAGAGATGCAGACCTCCACTAACTGATCTAGGCAACAAGAAATCTTGTCACTTGAAAACATACTACCATATCTTAACAGAGGTTCCATCTGCTCAATTGGATTAGCTCCTCTCTGTACTGTAAGTCTACCTGCAGTAAGGGCCAAGGATGGCTGGAAGTAACTGTACATAATAGGCTAATTTCCATTTAATTTTTTTCTTCCCAGTATCATGAGTCAAGGGTATCCCTTGGTTAAAATAGAAACAATGGAAAAGGTATCACAAAAGATCAAGTTAAAAGACAAATGCACACACAAACATGTGCATAGACACACATATTTTGAAGTACATATTTTTCAAAAGATCAAATTTAAAGGCAAGAGAAAAAAATCTTTTGAAATATAATTAAAACTTGGATTAGGTAAAAACTTCAAAGTTAAAGGACAGGTAGAGAGAGAGAAACCTACACAAAGAAATTATTTTCTCCCTGCTTCTTAAATAAACATAATTTCTTTTTGCTGTATTAAAAGTATAATAACCCTCAGTATAAAAGCTACACAGTCCATATTTAATTTATAAATGTTCAGAGTATCTTTCCAGATATCTATCTAGATATATATATTTTTAATATTCAAGGAATGAGTTATCTTACCAATTCAAAAAGATAAAAAAAAAAAAGAAAATGTCAGGTTAAAATACAAATACAGAGGAATGTATAAGTTATTCTACATAAGCAATTATCTTAAAACTTCCATATGGATTTTGTTAATGCACGTACTGAAAATACCATAAATAACTCCGTACATAATTTTGTTGACTATTAATGTAACAGAATTAATTTATTCTCTAATAACCCATTTCCTATTCCTCTAATACTCCCCATAAGTGTATGCCATAAAACAGACAATGGTCTGTTGTAAAACAACAGAAGATGTTTCATGAAAAAACGTTCTGGTGCTAAAGCAATCTGGAAAACCTTGTACACTGACTTCTCCCAGAGCTCCACAAAGTACACGAGTGCATTTAAGATCTGTGAAATCCCAGGGACAAGAAAAGAAGCCTGCTTGTTTACTTATACCAGCTTCTCCCATATACATTTAACAACAAAACCCTTTGTTAAGGACAAACCTTTGAAATAAATTATTTCACAGAACATACTCGAGAGAAACAGGCTGCTCCAATTATATGTCTAAAACTGCTGTATCTACCTTGCATTTTTTTAACCAAGATTAGTAACAATACTCTACTTAGGTGTTTTATATTTGCTCCTCAGATGCTATCATTTTCAGATCTTCCAGATAGATTAAAAACTTTTTAAAATCTTACAAGATAACCTATGTGAAGAATTCTCCTTTATACTTACCTTTCTATAATGCTTGTCACTTTCGGATCCATGATCTGTTGCTCTAAATGCAGTTTCTCCAGGTGAACCTTCAAAGATAAATATGCAGTCCTTTAAATTCTCCAGTGACGTCAATAATCTAAATTCCAAATTATGTCTAGTCAATTAAAAGGTAAATGGATTTTCAGAGAAAGTATCATATTTTGGAAAACTATTCCTATTTTAAGGAATATACTGGTAACCTACACAAAGTATTTTTTAATATTGCACATGTCCAACATATTTTTTTAAATATCAGTGAAAATTACAATAAAAAATAAGACAATCTTTGATAAGTATTTTACATGAGCGTACTTACAGTTTGGCCATATACCACTGCCATTATGTAAAGAATATGTATAGTAAAAAATTAAATTTAAAATGTCACCTATGACAGGACAGATGAGACAAACTAAAATTACTTTTCATTTCAATTATCAAAACTAATCAGATTAATTTCAAGAAAATATTCTGATAAAGCAAGCTCTTTTTAATAGTTTTAATCTTAAAATACAGATACATATTTAGAAATTTTAGTTTTACTACAAAATAATTATTCTATTATTTGCCCCTAAAGGAGAATGAATTTGCCCAATATAGTTCTGGGGTTTTGAAATTCATTATAAGCAGTGTTATAAATTTGGTCTGCAATTTTATTTGCAAGTAGTTTATTAGAAGCATTTAAAAGGCATGTTAAGGTCAGCAAAAATGTCTGTTTACACACCTAACAAGAGAAGCAGGTCAGAAGCTCCTATGACTTCACTAACCAATTTGTGACCTGTGAAAAATCAGCAGAGGGGGAAATAGAAATTTAAACTTTAACAGGAATGAGCAAACAAAGATGTCTGAGATCTCAGATGTATATCAAGATAGGGCAGTAATTGGGCAAATACACCAGGATTAACGTTAGTAATTCTACTCAGTATGGTCCATTGTAATTAAGTTTGTTTTAAAATCACTAAATTGGCTCTAACCAATTATGAAAAGCAAACACATAGGAAGTCTCATCTATTTGTCAAGAAAGTGATATTTTTCTCTCACTGACTAAAGCCTGGTTTGTTTAAATTGTTGCAAACTTTTATTCTGTTGGATTAAACAAAAATTAAAAGCACTGCACAATAAAACTTTGTATTTATATATATTTTTCAAAAACCTGTGTTTCATTTGTACTGTGTTTTCATTTAAAAGATGGGAATAAACAAATGAATACATTTAATTATTTTTCCTCTGTGGTTCCTGACATTTTAAATGAGATCAAACATAGGTCCGTTCTTACCTGTGGTGAAAAAGTCCTTCAATAAGCTGAGACTTTCAAGAATTTTGTCAAAGTCAGGAGCCAACTTTGCAAGGTCCTCTGAATTAGGAAGGGATTTTCTAATTTTCTCTGAAGACAAGAACAAAAACAAAAAAACCTCATTTATAGTTTCAAAGCAATAATTTGACTACTAAAACATTAATAAAATTTAAATATCATATATAAATTTAAATTAAAATCTTTTCCCATTTTCTCCCTATTATACTACGAATGCTAGATATATCTGAATCAAAGTGTTATTCTGATGATATTCTGCAAGCCATGAAATTTTTAAAAGGACTCACCAAACATATGGCTTAGGTGGAGACTTTTAATTTACAAGTTAAATGCCTTGAGACAGAAGCACTGTATTAACAATGTTAACACTGGATTGGAATCAGAAGTACTTTTTGGGAGGAAGTCACAGCACAGAGGCAAAGGTTCAAAGGAAAAAAAAAAAGAAAAATATCTCTTATAGTATCTGGCCTAACCCCAAAATGTGATCACATCCCAGTTCAAGTTCAAGAAGAGAAATCCATTACTCTTTCCCTCTTTTCATAGTCCCTGGTACACACTGGAAATAATTAAGAGCCCAAGGGAAGCTTTTATTTTACTTTTGTTAGCTCTGTTTATAAAATGGTCCAAGCATTTATTTTTGTTTAAAAACATTCAACAATTTTGTCCATGTCTAGTACAACTTTACAGAGTCTTTTGCATTAGGAAGGGCTTTTCTCATTTTCTCAGAGAAGACAAAAGTGCAGAAATATTCTCAAAATAAGAATATATGCCAGCTATTATTCTAAGTGTTATAGAAGTATTAACTTAATCTTAAGAGCAACTCTACAAAATGGCTGTCATCAACCCCATATTACATATCAGGAACTGGGGCTCAGAGGTTATGTAACCAACCCAAGCACAGAGCAAAGTGGGGAGAGTTAGGGTTTAATCCCAGGATGTTTACGTTTGGAATCCAGGCTCTCAGCCACTACACCAGGGTGCTGGAATATTAGGAAAATAATTTGGAAGAGTACTTTTCCTGCAAATACCTTTGTCAACACAGCAGAGTTTTATCTTTACAAAGTGTTCTGAGTAATTGTATGTAGCCATTAATTCCACTCTCAAATATACTTAGCTAAGTTAAGAAATTAGTTTAAAAAGACTGAGGAAAAAATTTCATCCACAAAATTTTAAAGATCACCATGACTTACTGACAATCATAGCTACCAAAATACTTTGTCTCACTGGTTAGAAAAAGGGGGACAGTGGCTGATAGTAGGGAGAAATTACTCTGGACAAGAGCAGACTTGAAGAATCTGCTTACCAAAAAATAGAGGTAACTAAGGTATCTGTTCAAAAAGAGCTAGTTAAGTGGATTATAGTACTTTAGTTCTGGGTAACATACAACACTGAAAATGATGTTTGAGAAGGTTGCTTGGCAGTATGGAAAACGCTAACAAAATGTGTTGAGTAGCAAACTAAAATATTAACCACAAACACAGAATAAGTTCAGTTAAAAGAAAATGTTCCATAAGAACAGTGGCAGCTTTGTTAAAGTAATGAATTAATGAATACTTTTCTTTTCCTCTCAAGTTTTTCTTTGATATTCTATTATTCTTATAATTAAAATGGAACTACTGAACATTAAACTCATGAGTTAGGAAACCATCTCAACACAACTTGTTCTCTTTCCTATAGATATGTGCTCCACCCGAAGAAAAAAGTATTTTAATGCTGATTATACAAACCTAAATCGATATACTCATCAATCTCCCAAACAATGTCAGGCACAATCCATTTATAGTCACTAAGGTCTGGTATCATATCTTTCCATTGATCAAAAGTCTAAAAGATAAGAAAGAATGCCAATCAAATGCTCTGAATGCCATATAAAAATATAAGAAAAACTATTTTTATTTATTTAACACATGCTAATCTACTAAGAATGATACATTATGCTCAAAGTTTTTACAAAGTGTCCTCGACACTTCAAGAAACAAAGTAACAGGCAAGCATACAAAAATGTAAATGTTCCTTTACTGAACATGAAAAATATAAAAATTCAAAATATATTCTCATTTCCAACAGGTTTCATGATCTAGTTTAAACAATACTGTGGAATAGAAGGAAAACTTTGCCTCTAGTCTTAGCCAAGGAGTGGTTGCATGAATATACCTCTTAAGTTTCTTATCTGTGCAACTAAATGGCAAAACTGAAAATCAAACCAAAGTGTTCTCACTCCCAGCACAGTTTTCTTTTCACTAGGTCATTTTAATATCTGATAATTATAACTAAGACTAAGAAGGTGTTTTCCTATTACCATTCACACCATTAAAATAATCTAGCATATAGCAGAGACATAATAAATATTTAAACATCCAATTATATTTTATTGCACTAAAGAAAAATTACTTAGTTCTATAAAACCTTAAAATAAACTCACTAAATAACTGGAAAAGCAGTAGGAAAGTTAAACTAACCTTTTTGGCTGTATAGCCACCCCCAACAGCAGATCCCAGTATGAGATACCGAAGTTTTAAGAGCCTTGCAGCTAATCTTGCTGGCCAAAAATTCCTGTGGGGCTGCAAGCCATATTTAACTGGAGAAAGTTTCAGTTTACGTAAAGGAAGGTTAGTTAGAGAAGAAAACTGCTGAAAAGATGTCCTGAGTTGGGGTCTTTGAAGCTTTAAGGTAGGATGGTGATGTGAATGATAAATACTTCGTGAAACCAGATGTACTTTTTGTAGTGGCAGTCTTCCTTTTGTTCCAGAGCTATGTTTCACTAGAGATTGGCAGACCTCACTGAAAGAAAAATGGGTATGAGAGAAGGGTTAGATAAAGCAACAAAGCAAAGGAGATAATATAAAAAGAGCAATATACAAAAGGGAAAACACACATACATGTGCACATGTGGCCAATCCACAATATCATACAATAGCTTGTACTTATTAACATTTGCTATGTGACAGGCAATGTTGCAGCATGTGTGACCTCATATAATCCTGCTAATAACCTTATGATGAATTATCCTCATGTCGCAAAAGAGGAAAAGGTGGCACACAGACATAAATAACTTCCCTAAGTGCACAATGACATAAAGAGCAAAGGTGGGATTCACTCAGGCAGTGGGACTCCACAGCCTGTTCTCTAATTTACTATGTGGAGGCTATGATCCAAGGAATTGCAATCAAAAAGCAATATTGTGGGGACTTACTTTATTAATGCTATTCACTGTAAGTAAAAGTCAAAAACAAAATGCATGCCAACTTTTGCTTTATTTTTCATTATATTTTATTGATTATGCTACTACAGTTGTCCCAATTTTCCCCCTTTGCCCCTCCACCCAGCACCCCACACTCCCTGAGGCAATCTCTACACCACTGTTCATGTCCATGGGTCATGTGTAGGTTCTTTGGCTACCTACTCCATTTACTATACTGTACTTTACGCCCCCATGGCTATTCTCTAACTTCCTATTTAAACTTCTTAATTCCCTTACCTCTTCACCTATTCTCCCACATTCCCCTTCCATCTGGCAAATATCAAAAAACTGTTTGTTTCCATGGTTCTGTTTCTGTTCTTCTTGTTTGCTTAATTTGTTTTTTAGATTCAATTGTTAATAGCTATGTATTTATTGTCACTTTATTGTTCATAGTTTTGATCTTTTTCTTAAATAAGTCCCTTTATTTCATATAATAATGATTTGGTGATAATGAATTCCTTTAGTTTATTCTGGTCTGGGAAGCTCTTTATCTGCCCTTTGACTCTAATGATACCATTGCTGGGTAGAGCTATCTTGGCTGTAGGTCCCTGCTTTTCATGACTCTGAAAATCTCTTGCCAATCCTTTCTAGCCTGCAAAGTTTCTTTTGAGAAATCAGCTGACCGTCTTATGGGAACTCTCCTGTAGGCAATTAATTGCTTTTCTCTTGCTGCTTTTAAGATTCTCTCTTTATCTTTAACCTTTGGCATTTTAATTATGATGTGTCTTGGAGTGGGCCTCTTTGTATTCATCTTGTTTGGGACTCTTTGTGTTTCCTGGACTTCCATGTCTATTTCCTTCATCACATTAGGGAAGTTTTCTTTCATTATTTTTTTCAAATAGATTTCCAATTGCTTCCTCTTTCTCGTCTCCTTCTGGCACCCCTATGATGCGAATGTTAGACTACCTGAAGTTGTCACAGAGGCAGCTTATACTATCCTCATTTTTTTGGATTTTTTTTCTTATTGTTATTCTGTGTGGTTGCTTTTTGCGTCCTTACCTTCCAAATCACTGATTTGATTCTTGGCTCCATCAACTCTACCACTGTTTTCCTGTAAATTGCTTTTTATTTTTAATTAGTGTATCCGTCATTTCTGCTTGGATCTTTTTTATGCTGTTGAGAGCCTCACTAAGTTCCTTGAGCATCCTTATAACCAGTGTTTTGAACTCTGCATCTGATAGATTGTTTCTCTCCATTTTGTTTAATTCTTTCTCTGGAGTTTTGATCTGCTCTTCCATATGGGCCATGTTTCTTTGCTTCCTCCCTGTGTTTTGGCAGCCTCCCTGTGTTTTGTTTCCATGTATTAGGTGGAGTTGCTATGACTCACTGTCTTGGCAGTGTGGACTAATGCAGTAGGTGTCCCGTAGGGTCCAGTGGCACATCCTTCCCTACCACCCATACTGGGTACTTGAGGTGAGGTGCTCCCTTTGTGTGGGCTGAGTACACCTTCCTGGGATTTACCCAGGCCAGTCAGCTGCAAGGATTGGTTGTGACCACTGACCACCAACCTCCACCTTCCATGGAGGATCAACTGCAGAGGCAGGGTGGTGATGCTCTGACATGATCTGTAGCTGACCTCTGGGTACGCAGGTTCTGGGGTTTCCCAGGTGGTGCTGGCCAAGGTCAGCCCCGTCCTGTGTTCTCCCTGGGGCCATCCTGCATGAGCTATAAAGCAATTTGAGATGGCTGCTAGTTTTCCTGGGTTTGGAGATTCCCAGGCGAAGCGAAGCTGTGAATCTAGGTTGGCTACTGCTAGTGCTGGGCCTGCAGCCACTTAGCAAGAGGTATATAGGCTGGGGGCTCACTGAGGCTGGCTGTTGCTTGCTTGATAGGATTTAGCAAATTGTGAAGCATGAGCCAAGACCAGCCATTCATATAAAAAAGCAGCTTGGGTGGCCTGTAAATTGGGTGGGATGGAGTCTCTGGGGATCTCCAGGGCAGGACAAAAAGTGTTAGCCAGGTTGATGGAGTTTCAGATATGGCACCAGCCTGCTGGCTCTGTGGCTCTATGGCAGGAGAGCTCAGGAAAGGGACAGAGACTTCTGCCCACCTCTCTGTCCCCCAGCTCTGGCCTCGATGCCAGACACTGCAGTTTCTCCCTGTGTGCCACTGGTACTTTTCAAGCTGCTACCCCATGCTGGAGCTTAGAGGGAATGAGTTCATGTTTGTGTCTGGGTTTTTAAGAGGAACTGCTTGGGACTCTAGAAGTTTCTTCCACTGACTCATTCTGCACTGGTTTTTGCAGCCAGAGTGGGGATGTATCTTTTTGGCACTGGAATCCTAGGTTGGGGAGCCTGGTGTGGGGCTGGGACTCCTCACTCCCAAGATATCCCTCCCAAATTTTTATCCGCCACATATTTATGTGGGACCAGTCTGTTCTGCATCTCCCCACCTCCAGCCAGTCTGGATGGATGTGGTTTCTTTAATTCTGTAGTTGTCAGACTTCCATTCAACTCGATTTCTGATGGTTCTGAGTGATCGTTGTTCTATACTTTAGTTGAAATTTTGATGTGGTTGTGCAAGGAGGCCAGCCATGTTTACCTAGGCCACCATCTTTACCGGTGGTTCTCCAAATTTCTGCTTTCAAGTAGGAAACTCCAGCAGCTCAGAAAAGCTATCCTTGTCCATTCATCTATGTCTCACTGTGGTAAGATGGACCAGGGGTAGAAATTAAGGGAAAATCATTAACACCTCAGGTATCTGGCTCCCCAGAAAAATCAAAGTAGCAAAGACCAATCAAACAAACAAACAAACAAACAAACAAAAACACCTAAAGGAGAAGAGATTCTAAATGTACACATTACTAGGAGGTGGGTGGAGGTGCAACAGGATATAGGGGGATAAATGGTAATGAAAAAAATACAATAAAAACTGATAATAAAAATAAAAAATAAATGTGTATGTTACCATCTAAGCCTTGCTCCTTCCTAGCAGAGAATGAAAACTGAACACCAACAACTGCTTGCCTGATTATTTATCCTATTCAACATTCCTTCATAGTGTTTATTATGGGGCAGGCCCAGTTCTCAGTAGTTTTAAAATATTAATTCATTTAATTACATTGGACTAGAAATTTCTTCAGAAAAACCATTGAGAAACACATGAACAATTTGTGAAGAAGGACAGCGGGGGAAAGGAGGTACCTAAATGCTAGGCATTGTGCTAGAGGTATTCACAAATGCTACTACTAACGTTCAGGAAAACCTGGTATGGTAAGTATCCTTATTTTACCAATTTTCCTTTTTTAAAGTGTCTTGCCTAAGGACGAATGACTAGTAAATGGTGGAAGAGGGATTGAAACCAAATTCAGCCTGTCAATATAGCACAAATTCTTCCCACAGGGGACACTAGTGAGTAAGAGTATGGGAAGTAGTAGATATACAAACAGGTGTGGCCTCAGATAGGAGGTTGTAGTTATTTTGAAGCATCAGCCACCTGCTCTGGAACCCTAGGATGACTGAGAGTAGGCCTCGCTCTGATTTAAGACTTACAGGACCCCTGCAACTTGGGAAACTTGAGGGAAACAGGACTTAATCGTAGGAGAAAATATACATTTTGGGTTTAGGCACATTGCTCATTTGTAATTCTACATGTAAAAATTATTTCTGGTCACAAAAAATATTCGTCTTTTACAATTTGGTGAACATTCTGTAAACTTTTTACAAGCTCTGACTCTGGAGGCTTGCTCTACGGCCGGTGCCCATAGAAAGGTCGTGTGCACCTTTCCCCACCCTTTCTTCTCAGCTGCGCTTTCCTTGCCTCTCTTTCTCCTAAGCTCCAAGGGCCTCCCGCCCCCTGCTTTTCCCCTGCTCTGTAACTTGTTTCCTGAGCCTGCTTCTTCTACTGCTCACTTCTTCTACCTTTATGACTCTCTAAATAAGCTTCCTCTTACAGTTTGAAAAAATTCCAACTTCAGGGTTTGAGATATTATGATTAAGATACACCATAATTTCCCCTACCTTATAAAAAATAAGTTATGTCATCTTTTATTAACCAAGAAATTAAATTCTCCTCCCCACAAACTCAGCATATAAAAAGCAAAATCCCACTTGGCATCAAAATAGGCTTTACCCCAGCAATCATACACACATTAAAATTAATAATACAACAAATACCTCTACGTCAAAGGAGTGGAGACAGTTAAGTGGTACAAGCGTTCACAGGAAAGTGAGTGATCTCTAGGGGTTGAGGTAGTCAGTGAATATTTCCCAGAAAAAGTAAAAATTAGGCGGGAGGAGTGAAAGAACGGCAAAAGAAATTCTAGACAGAGAGAAGGGCACTGAACTAAGACAATGAAATGGCACAGACCTAATGAGTTAGCATAAAAGGAACACAGTGGAAGGTGAATTGGAGAGGAGGTCTAAGAACAAACTACAGAGCCACTGAACATCAGGCAGAGTTTCAAATTTATTTTGTAGGCAACAGGCAGCCAATGAATATATCTGAGTAGAATACTAATTAAACAGTAATTTGAAAAGATTAAAGGCAATGTGCTATAGACTGAATGTTTATGTCTCTCCCCAATTCATATGGTAAAGCC